GACATTTATCATAGCTCTAGGGTCATGAACTCGAAGCTTGGCAGCAACTGAATCATTAAATTTGAACGACTGCAGCTTTGCCGTCTCGGAGGCACTGACATAAGTGTTTTCATGCTGAAATGAGTGACTAACTTCCGCTAAGCTAAACATGTCTTTGTTAAAAACTGGGACATTATACGCTTAAAGGGACATGTACTCCGATTTTGGTGAAACAATACATGTTTTAACAAGGAGATAATTTACTGCATTTGATATCAATACCAATTAGGTTTTAAGATGAACATCATCCAACAACTCAAGACAACAACTTTGTTTTGAGAGGCCTAAAAAAAATAATTTCTATTTAGATTAAAATAAGGCCTATTAATAATTGTAGCCTATCACAAACTCTTGAAGATTGATGCCCTCCATGTGAAACAGTGGCTCCAATAGGTTTTCAGGGATGTAATTTACCTCAGCTTGGCCACATTTGAGTCAAGTTTACTGACTGTAGTTAAAGATTAAACAAGAATAAGCTTAATTTATTTAATAAATTAATTCAGTGCAAATTCAGCAGCACAGCACAAGAAACTAAATAGCTCAATATTCACTCTTTAGCACAAAGAAAATAGGATTCTCAACAAAATCATTTCACTGGGCCTTTCAGCTTGAGGAAAAAAGAAAATCAATGGCAACAGGATGAATAACCTATAGTCATCACTAAATTCTCTTATCAGTGTGATTTAGGGGACAAGGAGGATGTTAAATAACTGTAAATCCTTATCTTTGACTTTGTGTGTGGTCTATGGCAGTTCCAATAGCAGTCCAGAGACAAAATGTCCATACTCCTAGCGGATGCACAATTTATAGCTTTATTACTCTTTGTCTAGAAGAGCAGAGAAAAACATAATTGAAAGAAGCAGATAGCAGCAAGCCAGGAAAAAAACAGGATAGAGGGCATGCAGGAGCAGAGAATCATCACTGCTGAAGACATATCACAGTGACAGTTTTATAGCTAAAAAGCCAACCCTCTGTTCCTGGGTCTCTTTTTTTATGAAATGAGGAAGATACAATTTTCTGATTCATCTGCAAGCAGTCTGGAGCAAGTCTAGAATTCCGACACCGACTTTAAGGAAGTCTTAAATGAATGTAGAGGTCACAAAAAGTGCTTGTAAAGTTGAAGTCACGAGTTTGCGCCAACGCTGTCACAGTCCTGCTCATATTTTAACCCACAATGACAACAAGCCTTTTGTTCTCCCTGATAAGGCTTCTGTGTGCACAGTAATGGGAATTAAGCAGGGCATAAGTCACAGAGAAATTGGGTGACAGCAGATCAATAGATAGTGGTGAGGCCTCAGGGACCATTAGTGAAGAGGATCCCTTTGTTTGTCCAATACTAGACAGTGTTAGTGGATGTTTAGTCCTGAATTAACACTATATATATATATATATATATGTGTGTGTGTGTGTGTGTGTGTGTGTCTGTGTGTGTGTGCACGCATGCAAATAAAGAATAGTGAACTTGTGATCACAGATTGTGACTGATTTAATCAATGCAACCACTTTTCAATAGCTAAGGGGAAAACAATTCTATATTTAATCTTTGCCAGAAACTCTGTTTTCACTTATTTACGAGATTAACTGTATAGCTGAATACATATGTGGCATATAGTATTATGGGCTACAGAAAAACTGAAAAACATAATTAAAGACGCCCTGCAGTCCTCTTGTGACTCTTGAAGCTAGATGATGAAAATGCATTTGCACTCATCTTTACAATGCGCAGAATGATTAGACAGAACATGTGGCAACTATGATAAAAAAGATTCCCTTATTAAATTCTTAAGGCAAATGCATATTGTTGCCATCACTTCGGGACATTCCCACTTAAATGCACAGATAATTTGTTGCTGCAACGCATTAATTTTGCCCCATAACCAGACCCCAGCCGAGTGAGCAATGTGCCAATGATAACTGAAGATATTAATTAGTATATCACAATCACAGCACATGCACTTTCACTACTAATATATTCCAAACCATCAGGTTGTGATTTAATTATAAATTATGTAAATGGTTGCCATGAATCATTTAGGTTCATGCATTTTATTAGCTAAATGGGAGGGCAGAATATAGGCATATCACAATGATGAGGATTTACACACCCGAGTAATGACAGAACATGTTCAAGAATATTTAGGAAACAGATCACAACTTCATATGCCCCCCTGCTAATGGCACAAAACATTTCAGACTGATGAATTATTCACAAAAGATGTCATTTAGTGTTTTTATCTATGAGTCATAAAGTTGATGTGTACATTAAAATTCCATCATTCATTCATTTTATGTATATTTTTTAGTAGCAGCAAATCAGAAATTACAGTTGCCCAATTTTATCAAATATTATTTTTTGCCATTTTATTTACATGCAGCAGTTCCCTTTGTACAAATGTTTAGCATAATTTGGAATTAAGATCCATCTCTAGCAACACTTTGACATTTAAAAGATTAAATAGTTTTAAATATTCAACTGGGAAAACTGTTGTCATATCAGTTCCTTTACAGTAAAATCTAGATAAGGGTGTAGATGGTCAAATCATAGTCTATTTTTTTCCTATTTTTTTTTTCCACTTGTCAAGTTGATGTAGTGCCAGAGCAAGAAATGTATTTGGTCTGAAGAGGCCTGTCAAATCAGACTGTCAGGCTACGCTTTTCTGATGGAGCTATATCGCTGGCTCATCTGTCAGTCAAGGAGAAAGACTGCTGCCACTGTCAAACGTGAGAGTTGAGACGAGCAGTCTTACATGACATTTCAGTGTCTGAAAAAAAATAAATTAAAAAAAAAATCTGAGGAGCAGAGTTTGTGGGGCATGTTTGGTGAAGTACAACAAGGAGTGCGGGGACAGGACTGTTAACGCCACCACGCTCGAATCTTGAAGTGCACTGAAATGCTCTGTGGATTAAAATAATTGACTCATAAAGATTCAGAGAAACAGGTGATAAAACCAGAATATTGTCTCATCACACTTACAAAGAAGGGCTACATATATCACCGATATCTTTCATCACAGAATATGACATCATAAAACACATCTGGGCACAGCGGGCTTGTGTGAGGGCAGCCAATAAAAAACAGTCATAACAGCACTATGTGACATTGTTCTGGCAGACGAGAGAATTTCCCAAACCTGGGTATAGGGTTTTTTGTAATGTTTACTTACACAAGAGGTTTACTCTACAACAAGCTGCCTATCTTTTGAAAGCTTTTAAACTTGTTCAATACAGAATTTAAAAGACATATAGAACATAATTTAGAAGCAAACATCAATTGGTCCTTAATCCAATTTAATTTGAGTTATGTAGCATCAAATTCCAACAATGTCAAAATTATTAGTATGACATAAAAAGAGAACACCAGCATGGCAAACACACACAAAAAAGCAACTTCATTTCCATTGTCTCACAATAGGGAGTTGTGGAGAATCACACATATCATGAACTCTTGTTTACCAACATATAGTTTGCTCTGTGTGTCATTGAGTTTTTCTGCTCTTGTGGTCAAATGTGTGGCCAGTCAACACAGAGATATAGCAACTAGTTAAGCAAGAACAAAATATCTCAAATAATGGCCTTTCATTGGCCATTCATCTTCAGTCTATTTTTATTGGATGGTAGAGATGTAGACATTCAGGCTTCATTACCACAACAATACTGCCCCTCTGTGGACAACCACCGTTAATACATGTCTTCATTAGCTAAATTTTCTTGCAAAATACAACCTACTTCTTTATCAAAACTATTCATACAGATCAAATTTTGAATATGGATAAAACTGGATTTTGAACTCTTTATACGCTGTACTGTGACAAGCTGTCCAAACAATTGTGTGACCAGGAGAGTAAAGATAGACAATTGTGAAAGACTATGAGATATTATACACCTTAACCACTAATTTCTTCTGAAAACTTAAATGGTTGGTTTTCTTCATTGTTATCAATTATATGGTTGCAAATACATTTGCCACTCAGTGACAAATAATGCAAAGCACTGTCAGTAACACTGCATAAAGGATATCATGTACAACAGTGACTGTATTCTTACGTGTTTGTGGTTATACAATAACTTAACTTTTTGCCACTGGGTTCAAATATATATAATATATCTGTATACGTAGGTATAAGTGTATTTTCAAAAATATCTCCCTTGAATATCAAAATAGATCAGTCTTTTAGAGTGACCCAAAACTCTGTGCAAAAAGTTTTCTTCTAGGGAGTTTCTCCACCTACAAAAAAAGTACTGACATAATTGTCCTGAATTTACAGTACATCAGATAAACCTCAATGAATGTCATATCACTGCACATTGTACTGATCCTACTATCGGTTAATACTTAATTCAACGGTGATTTGATCATCCTAAAAAACTGTAGATTTGGGGTTGGGGGGGGGGGGTTACAACTTCAGTGCACATGATCACTAATATCTTCTGACATTTTCCTGCAAAATGGGAGAGCACTTGCACGCAACTTTATATCAGAAAGAGGGCGTTTGTTCTACAGTCCTATCAAAGGGGTTCCAGTAGATCATATGACCATTTCTATGACTGACCATCTTTGGGGCATTGTTTGAGCAGGAATCGGTCCACTCGTTGTCTGAAGCTCAAATAACGGACCTGTGGCGTGGCCAAACAAAGGTGGGTTGGCTGTAATTTAAAGGTTTGCTACATGTAGGATTAACCTCATTTCTCCGGTTGTCGGTTGGAAAACATAGTCGAGTACCTTAGAACGATTACACTTTTTAACATTTCAACTTGATGTCTTTAGGTTTCTGCAGGCTTCATTTTCTTTCGAGGCAATCATTTTTTAAAGATAGTCGGAAGAGGGTGTTTCAACTCATCACTCTTTTGTCATTTACAAGCGGCGCCTTTGGTAGAGTCATTACGGTACGGCGCTGCTCTAACGCGGAAAACTAAGCTGGATGTGCGCGGTAGAATCGTGATATTCTCCTTGCCCTTAAAGCATGTCCTATCGCAACGTTTCCAAAGAAGCTCTGGTTGGCTCTGTTACACTTGGGGTTGTTTTTGTCGCGGGCTATTTCCTCGGTAAGACAGCAGGTGTCCAGTCATTGAAAAAAAATATGTCGAGGCTGTTACGTAACACCAGTGAGCCAAAGAACAGCGTGACTTTTAGCAGTCACATGAATAATTTATTTCCCTGTATTTAATATTTCTAATTCCGATCTGCAAAAATGTGGACAACTGTTGAGCCTTTGTGTCTTCCAAGTAAAACAAAGATATGAAAATCGTATACCATTTAAAACGGCTTTGAAACGTGAACTTGAAACGTATGACGTCCATCAGAGCGTAATCTCCAATGGAGTTACGCTTTTTCTCAAAGTGAAACCAGGCTTAAATGCATTTTACTCATAGTGGCTGTAACAATTTAGACAAGTATTGAATTTATCCCTTTTTGAAATCCATGTTTGTTTGAACCAAACAAGCTTCTTTATTTGGGTTTTGTTCCCTTCGTTTTCTGGTTTATTATTGAATCCTAAACTGCTGTAGAATTAATACAATTTTCTTTTGTCAAATTTTAGAAAATGTTCATAACTGTTCTGTTTCAATATTGTTTGGGTGACATGTCTATAACTGTGTGATAGTTAAAGACTCAGGTTTATGGTAACATGCTGCCTCCCTTGAGCCTACATTGTCCAGTAGGTTTAATCATAAACCAGTGAAATGTTGGCTTGTGAAAGGCACCGATTAAAACCCAGTACAGGATCCGCTTACCCTCTCTTCAAACTTGACTCGAAAACAGCAAATACAAATCTGCAAAGATCAAGAAAAAAAAACTCCATCTGCACATGCCGTTTCTATGACAGTATTCTGTGATTACCGACAACAAAAATTGGATTTTTGAGCTTCAAAACTACATTGTCTTAAAATTTCCTCTCATCATTTCTTTATCTGATCTGTTGTTTTGGATGCACTAATTTAATCTCCTCTCTGAGATCATTTAACTTCGATCTAAATTGAATAACTACCGTGCATCGACTACACCAGATGGCAGTTTACCCAAAGATCTATAATTTAGCTGATTGTTCCCCTGACATTGTGCACTTAAGATCCTTATGGTTTCCTGTATACCCTCAGGAAAAAAGAAATCAATCAGAATGAGTATTTCCAAAAGTCACGCCGGGGGAAAAGACGACCCACTGATCCAGTATGTCCTCAATAACTCCTTGAGGGAACATCCGGTTCTGAAGAAGCTTAGACTGGTGAGTTGGTTTCTGGAAATCTGTTTGTGTGGAGTTTTCACAGAATAATCCGATAAATTTATGCAACTGGTTTCCACACATTGTTTTCAGAGGACAATGGAGGACTCCTGGAATATTATGATGGTTGCCTGTGAGCAGTCACAGTTTATGGCCAACTTGGCTAAATTAATTCAAGCCAAGAAAGCACTGGAAATTGGTAAGTGTGGAAAATGTAACATGATATCATGACATGAATGACATAAAATGATGAGTTTCACTGGCCTTTTCCTTAAAAGCAAGAGCTGTTATTGTCAGTCACAAAAACAAAAAAAACATAAAAAACACTTCCTGGAGTAACTGGGAAACACTATTAGGTTTACAAAAGATGGATGAAGACAGCTGTAAAGTAGGTTTATGCTTGGAGTGCAAAACAATAATGGGCTGTTTAGAGTCCCTCTCAAACAGTTACAAAAGACTCAGTTTAGGATAAGGACTTATCAGTTTGTGCCTTCTGCAAGAGACAATACTTCATACTTTTGAATGATCTTGAATTTAAAGAGAAACATGTCAGTTTAAATTCATTGTGAAGTGAAATCACATGGATGCATTTGTAGCCCACGTAATCTCTTCCTTCATCCCACCAGCACTTTAAAAGCCTTGTAGTCATCTGGTGCCAGGAAAATCAGATTTTTACTAAGCAGTAATGTAGCTTGTGAAATTGGGCCAAAGGGTGGAGAGAGTTGCAGAAAATGTATTTAGAGAAACCACATGATATTTTGCCATGTGATTAAAAAAAAGAAAAGTTTTCCACATTCGTAACATTAAACAATTTAAATTGCTGCATGGAATAGTCTAAAATGGCTATTTGCTGTCATTGTATTCAAATGTTGCCAAATGTCTTTATATTTTGATGCAGGGGTATACACAGGATACAACACACTGAACATGGCACTGTCCTTACCTGAAGACGGAGTCGTGATTGCATGCGATATCAGTGAAGACTACACAAACATTGGAAAACCCTTCTGGAAAGAGGTACAGCGCACATCGGTGCATTCGTTCGTATTAAATACTGAATATGATACTGTGGGCCTCAGATATGGTGTGTAATACTGCTGCATTATTTCCATATTACAAAGTGCTAATCTGTGCTGAGGATTATCACACACCACAGGTAACAGATCTGGCTATTGGAGATTGTTGCATGTGGTGCAAACACAAGCCGTTTTTCCTGAAAGAAAATGCTGCTCTGCCAGTCTTCCAAAGCAATCACTCCACTGAAAAGCCGCTGCCAATGTGACTTAATGGAATAATCATTTCTTAAAATTGAATTGCGTCTGAGAACTAATGAAAATTTTACAAACAAACGTTTATCATAAATGCATGACATTTAATCAGTACTGGTTTTCAGTGAAGTGTAGTTGAAAGTTCTTTATACGAGTTTTGACATTTGATGTGATATATTCATATATATTCCTTGTTTTTGGATGATGGCTACATGACTGATCAAACAAATTTGTGATGCCGATCAGTCATGGAAGAGAAGGAGAAGAGAAAAAAAAAAAAAAGTCTAGTCAAGGTGAAGAAAAGTGGATTTCTTCATCCTTATCAAGCATGCACTGTTCTGATGTGATGTTTTAGCTGAGAAACTGCATCTCCTACTACTACTATTTGCTCTTGGTAACATTTGTATCTCTTTGTAAACAGGCTGGAGTTGAGCATAAAATTGATCTACGGATTCAGCCAGCATCAAAAACTCTAGGTAATGTCATACATCCCTTTGCTTACTTTTGCAACTTTGACTGAAATTAAACAGGTTACAGTTCCATATGTTCCCAAAGATAAAGAGGATATTGGGATGTTTCAATTCACATCTGACTAATTGGGTTGGCTTGTCTTTATCTCATCATTCATCGTATTACTATGCAAGTGATCATAACATTTTATTTATCTCCATTATTGTCATATTTGTAATGTGGGTTTTGAGATCCTTCAACCCACTCTTATCAGTAAATTTTCTAGGTGTGAACTGCCCAAAATATTTGAATGGTCAAACTTATCTAAGAGAATAAATGAAAGTGTCATACCTGCTCATTTGTTCTGGTTCACACGTTTGGGCACCTACTTGCACCGGTTTCCCTTCTCACTCCAGTGCTAGAAAGCCAGTGTTCTGCAGGCTTCGGCCTTTTCACAGCTTTGACACACCTGATTTAGATTAAATGGATCTGATAGGCTGCTCAGTAATTGTGCACTGATTCGAATCAGGTGTGCTGAAGCAGGGAAACATAAGACCTGCCTGTCAACAGTCCTCCAGGACCAGAGTTTGAGATCCTTGACTTAAGCCAAGCTTTTAAGCTTCTTTTGAGCCAATTAAATATCGCGCTTCTTAGCCGTGACATCACATTTTGACCTGACGTAGGAATCAGTGGAACCGCTGAGTTTATGGGACAAAGTTTTCTTTTGCTCACCAGTTTATGGATTTGTAAAAAACTTCAAAAACCTAATTTGTGGCTGGTGTGAAATGGATGGATTTAACCTAAAGTTGTACTACTGAGCAGCTACTTAGTAAGACAGTAATATTGATAGTATCGTCCCCCCCATCCCACCCCCAGCTAATTGTGATTATGCCCATTAGATCAAATTATGTGTTCAACCTATTAAGCCATGCATAGCGCATGTCTTTTTTCCACCATATTGAATAGGTGTTAATGTTTTGCTTTTCATTACTGAAATAATCTTTTAGATTTGCCGTTTTTAAGAAGTCATTTCGCTCTTTGTTTCAGATGACCTCCTGTCTTCTGGCCAGGCTGAGACATTTGACTTTGCCTTCATTGACGCAGACAAATGCAGCTACGACGACTATTTCGAAAAGTCTCTGCAGCTGTTGAGGAAAGGAGGCATCATTGCAATCGACAACGTAAGAGCGTTTGCAGGCACAAATACATTCAAAGTCATTTCAAATGGCAAAATGTTTGAACAAATATCTCTGTGGTGCTTCAGGTTCTGTGGGGTGGGAGAGTGGTGAATCCAGCCCCTGACGACGCTGACACTGTGGCCATTGACAAGCTGAACAAGAAGTTGCACAGGGATACTCGAATTACACTGAGCATGCTCACAGTGGGAGATGGGCTCACGCTGGCGGTCAAACTGTAAACCTGAAATGTGCAAGAATTTATAGGTTTGTTGGGCAACACTGTTGACTTTTAAGTTAGGCATGTTTCAGAAGGTACATGATGGTAGCCAGAGCCCTTTGTGTAGTTGGCTGGACTTTGAATACACAGCACAGGATTTTAATCTGATGTTCAGGTTAGAGTGACAGAGTACGTTCAGTTGCATAAATCTCCTCAAAGGTTTCAGGACTAAATCACCCATTTAAATATGTAGAAAAATAAATCGAACTGGAAAATTATGCACAATGTGTTTTCAGAAACGTAATACAATTCACTATGGTGCCTCATTAAGTTCAGTATTAAAATGACATGAGGAAAAAAACAACGTGTGATTTCAGGACTTTATTGTAAAGGTAGACACACAGCATCACGACTGCTTTGTGACCAATACAGCCGTCCTTGAATGGGAAAAGAGTTGGACAATTCATTCAGCCATTCACTCGAGCCACATTGAGGAAAATAAAAATGCATCAATCATCGTTTTGAAACTAAGTAGAAGATACTCTCTTTAGCAAGATTCTAATACTCGTCACAAAGCAAAGCTTCTCTTGGAAAACTAGGTGAAGAGTGTCCATGAGAATGGCTTAATATCTTAATAGCACGGGTTGTTGGAGTGATCCTCCAGGCAGTACAACACTACCAAAATAAAATTCAAATGTGCAAATAAAACAAAGGGGTTAAGAGCTTAAATAAAGATATATCCTACCGTGCAAAATAACAGCTCAGATATTCACTCTACATTTATGCTTAAGCTGAAAACTAAGGGTTTCCTTTTGGAACCACCACCAAATGTCAAACAAAGAAAAAAGACAACTTTCAACACCAAGTAGGATGCTTTTCTAACATAATGGAGGCTAAATTGGATAAAGGATGTACCTGATAAATAAATATGTGGCTGCAAAATGGTATTTACTGTAACCAAAATGACAGGAGGGTGCCGGAAGAGTTTTGGTTTCATCTGTGCCTGTGTTCTGGTTTTCTACTTTGTTTTGGCCTTAAAATATCTGTTGCTGACCACCATGAATGCCGAAAGCCACAATTTCTCTTGTTCTGAGAAGCCAGGCATGATCCTCATGCCTCTAGTTCCAGGCCTAGACCTAACTTGTGACCACCAGCGTTGATACTCTTCCCATCCACTAATGCCGAGAGGACGAGTTTCATGCCTGTAAAAAAAATGTTCAAGTTAATGATGATTTGGATATTTTCAAACTATATTTCATTGTTTACACGTGGTTCTTACCAGGCCGCAGGGTTTGGGTGTACCCAATTCCAACCAAGCTGGCATTGTTCACTTTAGCCTGAAAAAAACACAATAACCTAGAATTAATCAGATTCTTTAAATTAACACCAATCACTCTTTTCTTTTTCTTTAAATATTGAACACTTACCGATATGGAGGCACTGGAGTCTAACTGGTATTTTGCAGCGATTCCAAAGCGAGTGCCATTATTGCCTGCTGTCCAGGCAAGATTCACAGCAGTCTCCAGTTTGTCATTTACCTTCTGATAAATGGATCCACAAAACTCTGACCCATCATTTCTGGGTGGAGAAAAACAAGCAATTTACATTTTGAAATCAGCATTTGCATCTCCCATAGAGAAAGAAAAAACAAGACCATTGGCATATTGTTTCTGTTGAATTGGGGTTGACTGATTAAAGACTTACACATTGGTGTGGAGCTGGAAGTCACCAGTCTTGTAACCAATTGAGAAGTTGCTCTGGGTCATCTTAGATTTAGCTGAGTCAAAAGTCATCTGGTAGCCTGCCAACCATCCTTCATAACCACCCACCACTGCTCCATGTATAGTAGGACCAGCAAAATCTAAATCTACATCAACACCGGCATTGAGATATTCCCGTTTATAAGCCGTCTTCACTTTGCCACTCTTCTTTCTGTCAAATTAAAATAGAACATTTTTAATGTGATGCTAAAAACATATATGTATATATAAAAAGATTAATTGAAATTGATATCTAACTTGCCCAGTGTTTGGTGAAAATGTAGTGTCAAAATTAAGTTTCAGCCCTTTGGTGATCTAAAGAAAAAAAAAATATGTGAATATTTTAAAGCTTTTCAGTTAGTCAGATATAAACGGTAGAGTTTTCACTTACCTGGTCCTCAACACAAACTTCTGTTCCAAGTGTGTTCTCTGTGGTCCACTTCTCTGTGAATGTCAACCCATATTCAGCCCATTTGTACTTGGTTTCAAGAGTACCAGTGACTTTGCTGGTGTCTACATTTGATGAACCGGATGTTTTAAATTCCTGAGGGGAGCATAAGAGCATATTAATCATCCAAGAAAAATTATATAGACTGCAAAGACTTATCTTTCACCACTAGAGTCCATTTATTATAAATGACCGGCTAATGTGCAGATTTGAGGGAGGGACTAATTACAATGTTTCTGCCATATAATGATCAAGAAGAAGGGCTGCAAAGGTAATCAATCAAGACAGGTAATCAATCTACTTCATAATTACAGACACAGTTAAACTCACCACTCCACTTGAAGACTTGGTCTTCACATCAAGCTTTATTAGCCCAAAGCCTGCAAGAACAAAGACACTGAATACTTCCAGTCCATGCAAAAAAACTGTCTCTTTTAGCTCAAACAAATGTAGACCTATTGAAAAAATAGGTATCAAGCTTTCATTTACCATATCCTTTGTTAAAAATATCTTTCGCTGATTTTCCAAGGTCTGCATAAGGTGGAGGGACTGCCATTCTAACTGTAAGAAGATACAAAAGAAAACATGGTTAAGCAATAAAATAGAAGTGTATTGCTTGAGAAATATAGATCATAAAAATTACATAAAGGGAATAAGGAAATACAATCATACCAAACCCTTAATATATGTGTAATTAGCCTGTAGCTAAACTTAAAAGGATGCCAGTTGACAGTTATGTCAGCATATTTTTAAAATTGTAATATTCAAATGGTTGTAAAAGTATGTATCAACAGAAGTGTACCCACTCAGGATTGACACAATGACAGAGACCCCATCCACAAACCCAAACTCAAAAGGGATTAAAAAAGACAAGAAACAATTAAACAACATTTCAGATGCTGTACAATACACACAAGTCACTTCTGCATTTCTTATAGGGTAGTCTGCACATACAGGAAAGGATTTTCAATCTGCATTTAGAATGGGGAAAAGGCACAAATACTTTCTCTTTTTTTCAAATCACCCGAAAATGCTCGGATTACTTTGTTGGTGTTATATAAACTGACATGACATTTCTATCCTGTAACTGACGTAACACTGAAAAGAAACCTCCTAGGTATTAACAAAGAAAAATAAAGGTCTAGAAAATATGTCAATTAAAAGATGGAATGAGCATTGTGATGACAAAAAAAAGACAATTCTAAAGCTTTTTAGATGCAGTCACCGGTAATTACATTATCAGTATTCCCTGACTCATAGTTGCAGGTTCAAGGTTAAACTGGAGACTGCAACACTTGACGAGCTGGATATTTAGATTTCTTAGTCTCTTTAAGACGTTACAAAAACGTAGCTAATGTTTCACCGTTTTTTCACATACTCTCGGCTAAAGATGTCAAATTTAGCTCTGATTTTTTAAGGACAAATCAACCATTGAAATAACCTTTATTACCAAATAAATAGAAAATAATGTCATAATTTGGCTGACACGACTGTTTGTTTGTTTTGTTTTTTGCTTTTTAACTTTACTGTCCTAATTATGTGACCACCTTGATAATATAAATGCAGTCACAGTAATGAGCCCACTGGCTTATGGAGTCTGGACGAGTCGGGGGCGTTTTAGAGCTAGCTAGTCGGACGCTTGAAAGCCATTTACAAAGGTTCAAGCAAAATACGACATTAGCTACCAAACTAACCAAATGTGCCGTTACTTACCGAGTTAGTTTATTCTCTCCAATATTCGCAGATAACTTGTCAGAAGAGAAACAGGTCGTAAAAGGGTGAAGGAAGTCGGTCTAGGACGATATGGAGGAGACACTGCAATAAACAACCTGCTGACCTCGTCGTGCAAGGACCAACAAATATTTCCATATCTTTTTGCCTGATTAGAAACCGGCAGGACATAAAATGTTCGAACAATTCTCTCTTCTTGTTTAGATATTTGTTGCACGATATATAAAACAGTAAATGTAATTATCCAAATTTACAATCAGGAAAAATTTTATAACAAATCTGAGCTACCGGCAAGAAGGCAGGTTAAAGGCAGCTAAATCACCCTGGCAACCACAGTACGCCATTGCAGGGGCGTAGCGTTCATGTAATGCATGTTCGATACTTAAGAGGACTCACCACAAATGAATGGGTAAAATTATAATCAAGATTTTCTAAATTTTATGTAAAAATGTACCGTCATTCAAAAAAATTACCTATGGCCGTGATATAGTCTAATAAACTAAATAAATGTATTTTATTACATGCATTTCTTTTGGATATGAATTGTAAAAATACTAACCATTAGAAACTAAATCTGTCAGGAAAATGTGGAAACAATATTCTCTGCACTTATGGAGAAGTAAACATATCACGTGTTCCTTTGTATGTCAATGGATAAGACTGCATTTATATTTTGTCTGGAATGTACTAAACTGGTTAACAAACTCTAAATGTAAATAAAACTCTTCTTTCAAATATATTTTATTAAGTACCTTTCCATTCTAAGCAGTTTGCTTCTGTAAAAATAAACAGCAACTATTTGCCTGAAGAATTTAGAGAATGATCTACATCAAGTTGTAATGCACTGTTTGTCCCATTTAGGTTGTGAAGCATGTTGGAAAACAAATACATAGTGTTTTTCTGGCTCTTTAATGATGGAAATGACAGCAAATGATCAAGCAATGTGGATTTGGGCACACAATTATTTCCCAATGAAAGAAAAATCTTGTTTCTTTCATGATGAAACAAATAGGACACTGGCCTTTTCTCCTGTGGCAAGTTTAGATCAGTCAAAAGTAGAGCACATTTTAAAATCAACATTACACATAAATAGCATTCCAAATACATAGTTTAAAGCAACTGTAAACATATTTCTCCATGTGCATGTTGCCATCACTCTGTATAGGGGAATATAAAAATACTCATTGACTTTTATAAAAACAAAATAAATTAATAAAAACACATACATAAAAATGTAAGGATCTGCTCAGTACAGGTTAAAGTCAAAACATTGCTTTTTGGGGAAGGGTCTAACTTGGTCTCAGTATGATTATTTACAAAGCAGGGTGATCTCTTGAACCTAACAATGACAAACATATCCAAGAGCAGGCATATCAATATCCCAAACTATTTTCATACAGAGAAATCTATCATACAAACACCATGTAATTGGCAAATAGAATGACATTTAAGACAGGTGGACATAAAAAGTATCTTTCATCATTAGTATTTGGCTGATAAAGATAGTGTCTTTATCTAAATCTAATCATCATTGAAAATGTCAATATGATCAAGGAATGCTTTTTTAAACATCACAAAAAATACATTTACTGTACTGTGCAATGTAAATCTATACATATTGCTTTAACAATGGTCCAAGGAGCAGAAATGATGGAGTTAGATATACAATAAAACCAGATTAAACCAGATCAAAAGCGTGAAATTGTCAGGTATTTTCCTTTGCACAAAAAATTATTGTTACTATTAAGATAACACGTTTACTCCTATCAAGCTATCCAAACATGTCCTAACTTACGTTAATTAGGTGACGAGTTATTGATAAAGCAGAATGAAGCATGACATGTCCACGGTGTCCAATCAGATACAAAACGATGATGAGGGCTTCTGGAAAAATGTCACTTTTCTTGAATCTCCTAATAGAAAACGTAGGTTAGCAGTTAAGTTCTAACATAAAAGAGGTGGTGGATCTGTGGATCCCACCAGGCCTCTAGCTCACAGAAACACATCAGTTGTGTTGGTGTTGAGGCCACACACCTCCACAGTTGGCAACTTCAAAAAGTGGACAAAGTAGCAGTTAAACAGCTGTCTGTCAGTTCTGTCGCTGGACAATCAACCAATCAGCCTCCTCATCACAGCAGGTCTACAGAAGGGCCAGCAGTACTCATTAGGGACCGGCCCGTTGACGTTGCACTCAAAGAAAGAGAACATGGGGAACCAGATACGGGCTCGCCGACTCTGCTGGTAGGCCCTGGTGTTGGCAAGAGTGTGGTAGTACAGGAAGAGTCTGGTAGTGATGTAGAAGGCTATAAACACATCAATGGAGTAGTGTTCATGGGCAGCCAGGATGAAGAAAATGCCGAAGAGATTGAGGACCCAGGACAAGGTGTGAATGAAGTTCCAGCTTCTTGGAGTGTCTGTTAATAAGATCATTAAAATCAGAAGAATCCAAAAGAATTACCTGTCCTGTTTACTCCTGGAGGACTGTTTTGTTCTGTTCCTGTTCTACTTGCAGTGCCAGCTCACGACACTCGAGGGCAGCACAAGGAAGCTGTTTTGTAATATATCTACCAAGTGTCTCCCTCATGATTTGCTACTTTACTGTCTAATGTTATTGCTTTTACAAAAGCTCATTATTTATTATCACTATGTGAACACAAAACATCACAGCCTGTGTAATATTTAAAAGGGTATGAACACCACTGGAGGGCTCATAATATAATTTTAATATTGTGAAAGCACTTCTGTCACAAATAATTGTTTCAAATGAAACCTTTATGATCATCAGAATAATAAGCATGGCTAAATATAGATTAACTGAAGTCGTAAAGGGGTTAAAACTGTTATTATGGAGGACAGAAAAAGCTAACAATATTTATGGGAGAAAGCTGCTTGTTATAGTTAGGTAAGTGGGGGCACTTCAAAACTAGAAGTACCAATGTGGAGGAGGAGGGATCCTATATATATTTTTTTGCTAACATAATTAAATAAGGCACATGTCTGGACATCCATCTGGGTGTAAGAGTTTCTCCTTGGCAAAGGCAGCCTTTGTGTAAGAGAGGCAAATTTTGAATCCTCCGTGTTCCTGAGTGTTCTGGCCATAGTTTTTCACAATATATCAGACAGAAGGACAGAAGGCAAAATATTAAAGATAACACTATGATATTCCAGTAGTTTATCCATGAAATGTCCTTTAAATCTGTCAAATTCATGTCACAACAAAACATTTGTTATATCAAAACAAACTGAAGGCCTTTTAGAAATACAAATAGTTGCCAACATATCTGTGGCCATTTCATGATAAACTGGAGTAGTGTTTCAGCATTTTTTTACGTAAAAAAAGAACATCAAAAGAAGAAAAAGAAGCCACTCACACTCTGTGACAAAGAAGTTCAGCATGGTGAGGACGACGGTGTGGCCGCTGAACATGTAGTCACCGCACGTATGAACTCCGGTCAGAGTCATCCCAAAACCACTCCAGATGGCAACGGCCCGTTGCAGTTTGGCCCACATGTCCCCGTACATCTCCGAGGACAGAAAAACCCACGCTTTTGAAAAACATCACATTCCAAAGGGGTAAAGTTTAAGAGCATGTGTGGCCTTACCTTCCCGGAGCACTGCAGGTGCTGCCCGGGCACGGACAGGGAGGTGACGAACATGGTGATGCAGCGCAGCATGAACACCGTCCCCATGAGGCTGCACATGCGCCGCAAAAGGATGGACCTGGAGGCCACAACCGTGCCGATTTAAAGAGCACACTCTTCACGTTTGACAAAAATATGCGGGATGAGGATGATAACATGGTGCAAACCGCTGTCAGAACTCTACCTGTGTCTATGCAGCAGCAAGACCAGCAACCAGATGTTACAGAGGATGACTCCACACGCCTCTGCCATGGCAAAGGCCCAGGGGATTCTAGGCACACTGTGGAAGGGTTAAAGATCAGCGGTGAAACAACCTGCTTATAAACCCACCAAAAGCCATCCAGCCCTGATGTTTAAAAAAAGAAATAAACACTTTCAGTTCTAAAGTCACAAACGTATCTTTTCCTTAATTAATTAAATAAAAACAGATCAGCCTGAGCTGTTAAAAAGTAGAATAAATTACCACCATGCTGTAGAATTATTACTTAAAATTGTTTAGTAAAAAGGAGATTATTCTTCTAAATGCTCTTATGACATCTTCACAGGGTGAAGAAAAGTTAACGGCAAACTTTGCGGTTGTTCTGAAACAACCATTATGATGCTGATGATACAATTTGTTTTTAATAACAAAACCTGGGGAAACCAATCCATTTCTGAGATTTCAGGCATGGCATTGAGACATAAAGGCCAGAAAGACCTGTAACCACTACTTTTTAATCGAAAAATATGTCTAATTTGTTATCTTTATGCCAAATTGTATATTGTCTATATTTTTGCATGTTTGGACATTGTTTTGCTTTGTAAAAAATGTAGTTTGATGAATTTCTCTTAAAAAAAAAGAGGAGATGTGCTGCATTCAGCTGAACATCACATGCCTTTTAGGGGCCATTACAAATACCATTAATCCCAATTTACACCAGTGCCATCTGGCAGGTCTGACCTACTGAGTCTCAAACAAACAGTAAAATCACATATGTCCACTTCTGCCTTCATAGGTTTTACTGTCATGACTCTTTTTAAACTGCAAGACGTTAAAATAACCTGCAAATAATAATGATTATTATGAAGTGTTTAACATTATAAGCTGCCTGAATATCTTGCCTCAGAATGTTTCATTTTATCAAATGCAAAGCAGCCGTTTTCCTGACATTCCACAAAAAGCTCAAAGCTGGTCATAAACAACAGGTCGTACTTCAAACCAGGTCACTAAAAAACTTGTAAAGATCTCTTTGAACTAAAAGTAGCTTATCAAAAGTGTGTGAAGACAATAATAGAAACATGCTTGGAGCAAGTAGGGCAGATATAACTTCCACCATATGGTGAGATTATCTGACGCTCCATAAAAATATGTATCGTTCTTCTTTCCTTTTTTCTTCAGTCTGCGGTATTTCCATCTGATTAATACTTTAGATTACTCTTTGTAGCATAATAGGGCATAGAAAATCAGTTGGGAGGATTCACACCCACCTGTCTAGGAAAATATCTGGCAGTGGAGGGTATGTGCGCATGTCCGGCACCCTTTCATGCACTATGACCATAACAAAGGACGTGAACCCGAACACAAACACCACATAGATAGAGCTCAGCGCCGTCTTCCAGTACTCGGGATCGAGGCGTCTCATCTGCTGCTTGTACTTCCCATTTGTGTACTGGTGATACTCCTCTCCCACTGGTGCTGTGTCAGTGCTGTCACAGTCTCTGCCAGGGTCTCCATTACACAGCCAGTCCAAGCTGCCTCCAGAGCCCGTAGGAGACAGGCCATCAAAGGGAATACCAAGCTCCTCTAGCACATCAATGTTTTGTTTTTGAAGCTTGCGGATGGACATCATCAGCCTCTTGATGTCCCCCAGCACCTTAAGTTCCAGGGGCGGTGATCGGAGGTCATACTCACTGAGAGCGAGCAGACTGGTGCCATCCAGTCGATGCTTGTTGCACAGCAGATCCACATAGTCACAAAACCCCTCTTCTTTCAGCCACTTGGCAACGTGTTTTGGTGTCCAGCGACGGACACCCAGCTGGGTCATTTCCTCCTCACTCACACAGCTGGATTTGGGGAAAACAAGCATTTCAGAATGTGGCTTGAACAACTGAGCTTTTTTTTACCTGCAATTTCAGTTCCACCGAGACTTCCCCACCAGCAAACAAAGTCATTCTAAGGAGACTTGATACAGTCTAGAACACTTTATTTTTGCTGTATTTGTAATAATAAACATGCTGCAAAACTGCTAGGCAAATAGAAAATAGCTTAGTTTTGTGAAGGAACAAAGCTATTCACAGGTTTCAGAACGTTTTTGAAATAGTGTACATTCACATCTTGTGTAACTGCATGAGGGAAATACCGGCAAGACTGTGGTCATTTGACCACTGCACTTAACGGGAAACCGCACCCCAGAATCTAAGTGAAGGAGCAGACACACTCCCACAAACACAGAAAATAATGGCCTTTAGTAATAAATGGTCATCATTTGTTGGGCATTACCCATTACGAATATCCTACACCCAGACAGGGATCATTCACAGTCAGCTCAACCTCAGTGGCTGTGGCAAATGTTCAGATAAAATAATACTGTTGCAGTGACCTAAAAAACATATTTCACTCATTACTGTCAGTAACTTTGTGCGGTTACATGATCCACCTGCGGTACATCATGACCACTGGCTTGCATTTTGTGAGGTCAAAGGCAACTAGTTCCGCTACTCAAGGAGATTTAAAAAATATTCTATAGCCAAAACTGTAAAACCAAATGGCTGTCAAGATTTGTATCCCAGAAGCGTATGGGATAAGCGTGAAACCAAGCCAAAACAACCTCCCCTCTATCACAACAAGCCATGCCCTGGAGGCTAATTTAGCCCTAGCTTCAGTGAGCTAGCTAGCGTTTGCTAGCTTGATTAATACGTATTTTACACTCACTCACCTGGTCTGAGCAGTAATCGAAGTCGAGGTTTATTTGCTCAGCTAACTAATTAATTGGCATTTTACATGAAGTGATAGGAACCATACAAGCAGATTCTGGCGCAATAATATGAGCATGGTGAAATTCATTTCGCCAAAGATTCGCGGTGGCTTGCATTTCACTTGGCAAACCGAGGCAGTAAAGCCTGTATTATCTGCGCAAGGAAAACCGGCTACATGGGGTTTGGTTGAAGCTAATCAACAGCGACACTTAGTGGTGAACAGAAGGCACTGCGACTCACATGTGCATAATCACAGAGAACACGGTTTGGATGAGTGACGTCAAAATGACTATATTCTGTTAAATTGAATTTTCCATCCGATGAATAGAAGAAAAAACAGTTTTCCCAAAATATCAGTTTTAGTTTATCCTTTAAAATCTCAAAAATGTTTTAATAGCTTTGAACATTGTCAGTCCTTCCCCCTTGGGAATAAGCAGATGGATAGATGGATGGATGGATGTAATTTGTTGCCAAGTGAGTGCCTATGTAATAACCAAAATGTGAAGAATATCAATAGAAATGTTTGTGCCATTATAAGTGACAAAATGATTAATCATGTCCAGACATTCTAAAGAACATTACATAGATTTCGAGGTGTAAAGTCAACTTCCAGATGGAATATAGGTCACTGCTTTATTTATAGAACTGAAGCACCTGTCCTTGTCTGTTGTAACGTAGTTGTAGTAAAGACTAAGCAGAGTTTGCGAATAAATGTTTGGGGTTTAAATCATTCGAATGATAGTTTCAGGGCAGCTTTTTTCAAGTAAATGAAATGCATGTATGACTAGAAATGAATGAAATGCAAGAAAACAAGATAATTTCTCCATCTGTAAAAGAGCTGCAGAAGATTTTGTATGGAGGTAAAAGATTCGGGAACCATGTGGATGAAGTTTGGCCAAACTTGTATATTGGTGATATGTAAGTGTTTAACATTGCTTTTACTTCCACACGCAAATCAGTATACTTTCCTCAAAATCATCCCTTAAAATGATCGCTTCCTTCATTCAGGTCAGTGGCCAATGATCGCTACAGTCTATGGAAACTAGGTATCACTCATATTGTGAACGCAGCTCATGGGAGGCAGTATTCTCAAGGAAGTCATGAATTTTATGGATCCACCGTAGATTATTATGGAGTCCCTGCAGATGACTCGCCATCTTTTGACATCTCTCGCTATTTCTATCCTTCTGCTGAGTACATTCAGAGTGCACTTACCACAAATGGTGGTAAATGTCTAAAACATAGCTTTGATTTAAAAAAATCCTCATCTTATTCAGAATCAAAACTGTAGAATTCACTACACCCTTTGTCCTGACTCTGATCGATTTTCTTCTCCTCCAGCTCGAGTTTTAGTCCACTGTGCAGTTGGAGTGAGCAGGTCTGCCTCCCTTGTCCTGGCCTACCTGATGATCCACCACCACTACAGCTTACTACAGGCGATCAATAAAGTCAAAGAGTGCAGGTGGATTTTCCCAAACAGCGGTTTTCTAAAACAGCTTCATGCTTTGGAAATTAAACTTTGCAAGACTTAACAAAACTAATGCATTTATTGTCAAAAATGAATTGATAGGAATTTGAATTCATGCATTTTATTAAATTGAATGGCTTACTGTGTGCCTACCAGCTGAGGGAGACACTGTATTTCACTTTCTTTCTGGTTCACTCTATAATGCTGTTTAAAGTCAATTAAGCCTCCTCTAAAACCACAGGAGATCAGGTTGCGGTCTCAGACTGCATAAGAGACAAAATGACAAAAAAAACTAATATCCTGAATGCTGTGTGTCAAATCCATGTACAAGGTGTATTCAGTTTAAAACACTACAAGACTTCTGTGACTTTTTTACACCTTTTAAAATCTTCAGTGTATTCATTTTTTTAATTAATTCATGCTGTTAGATATTTTGCTGGACATTAATATTTGAATTAAATTGATGACATAATGTTTGGTTGCCATCAAAGGTGTGGTATGATAACTATCTGTTTTTTAAGATGCATTCAGATGGAAAATAGAACTGAGCAGAATATTAGTGTAAACTTGATGCATTTAATCCAACATTTTTTAACAGTTTTTTTTTTCATTACACCTGAAAGGAACAAGACTTCATAAAACACCATCAATTATTAGAATATTAAGATTTTCAGGCTCACCCTTCTCATAAATTATATTTGCCTCAAAAAAGGCTTTTACTTAACATTTTAAAGGCTAGTAAAAAGAGGAAGAAAGCAGCCTAATCTGTTCGCGCATTTTGCAATATATGCTCATAAAAATAGGTTTCCACATTTCCATCTGCTCATAGACCCTGTCATATGCACACCAGAGGGGTGAGTCACCACTTTGTTTATGAAATCATGTCACATTTTTTTCTTATCTTACTGTTATAGTACATCACAATTCAATCTGATTGTGTGATCATGTTCGCAACAAATTGAGTTTTCTGTTTTTCTCCACATCCTTATGAAACAGATAAAACTGAAAAAACTAAATGATTAGTTGTGAATGAATACCTTTTTTCTTCCTGGCAAACCTTAGCCTAGATATGTGTCCTCCATAGGACCACTACTCTTGTAAAACAAAGCTATTTTCTTGGGCACAACACTCGCCAACTACACTGTCATTCGTTATTTATTCTATTAAATTTGATCAAACAATTTATTATCTAACTCACTGTAACCTACATGTCAGTTGTGATTTTTTATAATACGCCTTTTAAAAAGAAGCAGCACTTTAAATAACCAGTCAATAATTTTCTCCTTGTCAGAAATAACCTGCAGATATTTACTGACTGCAGTGTCAGTACCGACGTTTCACAAAGCCATCACATTCCTTGGTGTCAAAGAAAAGTTAATTAAGATTTCCTTCTTTCATTAGTTTAAAAGCTAAAATGGATTAGATTGACCTGTAATAGAATAAGAGAATTAAAAGAGCCATTTTCACAGTATGACAGCCTTTTAACATCATGTGCAGCCAACGGCAAAGCTTAGCGTTGCTTGACTCTTTCACCAAACATCCTTTTACAACATGTTTACATTAAAGCAGTGAGTGGGCTTCATGAAGTAGTTAGAGTATTTCTGTTCCATAAGCGCTGAATTATATTTTATACAAGCAGTCCACTTTAACAATTTAAACATAATAATTAGGCCCTATTAACACAGCTTTATGGGATGATTCATCACTATATGAGGCTTGTTAAATCCGAGTCCCACAGCCGTGTGAGAAGCAGAGCCCATGCTGCACTGTTTGTTGTTCTGCCCTCTGCATGGGTAAGTCTACACGCTAGGTTAAGCACTAAATTGGGTAACTGTCCAGTGACAACACCTGCTCGTACTGATCATCTTGTGCTGGAGAAAGACTGGAACTGTTTTAATACAACAAACATTTTGGCCGGCAATTGATCCAAGACGAAGGATTTGGACACAAAATGTCAACCCTGAGAGACAAGAGAAAGGAGTATCTAACTGTCAAGGACCTGCAGAAGGTGTTGGATTCCTGTAAGCTGCAACTCAATCAAATTGATGAGGTGTGGCCGAATATATTCATAGGAAATGTGTAAGTACCCTTTATAATTAAAGCTTCTGACAAGTTTGCTTAGCGAGCATCTGTGACACATGTAATGGTAAACTTTTTCCAAAGGACTGTGACAAAACTCCTTTCAAATATTGATTCGGTTTGACATGAAAACACCGTGCTGTCATGTGTGTGAAGTCTTGAAACCCCTTTCTGTCTCTTTGTCTTATCAGGGCAGCAGCCCAAAACAAGGCTGCCTTGCTGAAATTAGGTATAACTCATGTGTTAAACGCTGCTCACTCCAAGCGAGGCAGCAAGGGGAACCAAAGCTTTTATGGCAACGACATCGTGTACTTTGGCATTCCGGCAGATGACTCCACACACTTTGATCTGGATGTTTACTTCAAGCCTGCAGCTGATTTCATTCATAAAGCCCTGAAGACCCCTGGTGGTAAGAGCTCTCAATGCCTCCGCCTGACAAAAATAATGCATTTGTAGCAGATTTCTCTTTTCAGTTCTGCATACCAAATCTTTTATTTCACTTTAGAAATAATCAGTATCGCTGACCCACCCTCCCAATTATTCCCTACATACTGCCCTTTCAATGTCACCTGTCATTACGGTATAACACAGGTCGCGCCAGGGTAAAAATGTATTATCAGCCAACAGTATTAACAAGAATCTTACCTTGCAGAATTTAAGTCTATAATGTGACCGTGACTCCTTTCAAAGACGCTATCAAGTAGAGGACAAGTTGGGATTAAAGAGGCTGTCGGCCTCTTCTGCAAAGGGACCTTAAATGAACAAAGACTATGAATTGTAGGCTCTATTTTTGGCTCACGGCCGGGGAAAAGAAAGTCCACAATGCCAGACGGGCAGTCATGTATGATATTAATAAGACTGCTGCCTTTCACTAATCCTTCCCTCTCACCTCTTTCTCCCCTATCTTTTCTCAGGAAAGGTTTTGGTGCACTGCATCATGGGAATGAGTCGCTCGTCAACGTTGGTGTTGGCATACCTTATGATCTACCATGACCTCTCTCTAAAAAAGGCTTTGCAGAAAGTGATACAGAAAAGAGCCATCTACCCCAACAAGAATTTCCTGGCTTTGCTGCTGGATCTGGATCTTCAGCGGACGAGAAAGAAGAAATCGTGTCAGATCTTGTAGTCAAGTGGTTTTTCCACTTTGCAGCCACATGGTTTTGGGGTTTCTGGGTTTCACAGTGTCAAGCAGTCTGTTGATCCAGCAAACTAGCGTCTACAGAAAATGAAATGTCATGACTTTGTTTTAACACATGACTGACTTCTGTGAGATTCAGGTCACCAGTAACTAACGCGTTATGTTAGTTTGTTCAACAGAAGAAAGGAAAACAGGCAGGCCTCGTGCAATACTCAAAATAATTTACTACCCAGTTATTGATTGTCACCCCCCTCATTCGGGAAGTATTCCCTCAGTGCTGTACAGGTATCAGGCTAAATCGATTTGCATCTTCTCTGGGTTGTGCAGATTGGTGTAGACAATAAGGTGAACCTTTATATCAGTAACGAAGGGCTCTTCAATAGCTTTTTCTAAAGATTATTGTTGTTCTTTGCTGTATTAACTTTTCTTGAAGGGCCACTGGTGTCCCTGTTGTTCATCCTGAAAAATCCCACAACAGCAGGATACTAATGCCTCTCTGCAAAACAAGCAAAAATGCTATTTGAATGACAGGGGGTGCCTTTTTTTTCCAAGTTTTGGTCTTAATGACAGAGTCTGTGTATGACTGATGCTATCATGGTGCTAACAAAAAATAAGAAACAGGGTCAATATATGAACAGGGTTAGAATATGACAAAACATGGCAAAACTGAATGCCAACTGTTATTTATTTTATTTTTTCTTTATTTAATTTCATAGCTATTTAGTAGGATTACACAAAACACAAAAAGTAAAATGCTAAATAATGCTATGATTGATTTCAAGTAGTAACCTGTTTGATACTAGTTCAAAACATGTCTTTTAATAAGCAGTTAAAGTTACAATGTCAGCGTACAACAACAAAAAAATCAAATAATTATATATATATATATATATATATATATATATATATATATAAAAATTTTTTATATGGCCTTCTATACAGGTACATGTTGTGATTTAAAGTTAATTAGATTTTAGTATGAATTTATGTTTTCAGGTTACATTTAAAGACCATATCCTTTTGGATGTGGTTTAACGCATTGAAAAATAAGAATACATTTCTGAGCAAAATCTGTTTAGTTGCTGAAAATTTACTGCGGTGGCTCGTTCCACTGATTTTATTCATGTTCAGCCATCATTCATGTAAGATGTTGTTTCCTTTTTTTGTAATTGTGGAATGGACCAAAAGCTTCACACGTCATGTTTTACAAAGTATCACATTTTAGTAACCTCTCCATTTGACTCAGAAAAGACAGACTCAGTCTTCAGAATCTGTCGACACAGTTCACAGTGTGAAATTCCTTTGGTGTATTTGTCAAGCCAGTTGAGCTGAAAGCTGCTGTGCATCAAAGGTTTCAGTTCTTTGACCATGTATGGAATCCTCCATGGAAATATGAAGGATGTCTTACACACAAAGATACAAACATGCACCTTATATACAGTGGAGCTTAAAAGCAATGATTTCTACATGTTGAATAAAGTTTTTCTCTGTGAAGCCAAACAGTCTAACTTTTATATGAGGTGTGGCAGACAAAGACACTGAAATGAACAGATCAACAGGAATAATGCCACAGAAAAATACAATACTAAAAATATATCAATGATCATTAAATTAAATGTAGATTTTTTTACTGATATTGATAGAAATTCATTTTAAATGCATGAGTTTTGTCACTAAATATTAGTGAAGGGATGAGAAAAACTCTACATTAAAAATTGAGCTTTTACATAAACATTTTTTCTCTCTTGTGTATTTTTTCTGAAATACTGTCTTGTGCTTTTGCAAAGTGTAGCTATTAAATTTGATAAGAGACATTATTTGACCTTCTTATGAGCTAAAAAAGACTCCATCCTTGACCAACTGACAAGGCGTTGTTTATTACTTGTCACGTAGGACGAATCTTAGAAACGAGGATTAAGAATAACTTCAAGCACAGCAGCACTAATCTAATTTTCTTACAATTCAAAAACAAGACATAGCCGTGTCCTATCTTCTCTCCTGTGTTGGAGCTTGGGTAACCTTTAAGGAATGCAGAGGAGGGTGCCAGAATTATTTTGGGCTGCAATTCAGATGTTAAAATAGCAAAAAACGTTGCAGGGTAGATTACCAAGGAGAAGGCAGACAGTTGTGCTGTCGACCTACATGCAGCTCTTGTGCTGAGAGACCATGAAAAGCAACGATTCCAACTGAGGCAAGTTTCTACTACCAGCATGTTCTTACAAATTCATTACAGATGTGGTGGGTTGGGAAATATTCACGACTATGTACAGTATACATAACCAACAGTGCGTAGATTTATTGTGTACTTTGATTTACAAGGTAAACATTTACAAAGTACTGTTATACATGAGAACGTGCCGTGACAATGTTGCTTTGATGCTGAATGAATGAATTATTATTCCTTCTTCATTTATTAATTTGCCCACAAAACCAGATGAACCACATCTGAAAGGCTAAAGAGAAGTATAATTCATAAAACCACCAAGAAGCAGCCCGGAGGAGGTAAAAAGCCATTTTTATTTGCCCTCCATGTTAACCGTAGGCACTTTCCCATACATAGCATCTTTAATTACACAAAAGTGGAGCAGGAAGGACAGGTTAGCCTGAGGGGGGAGGCTGTGAGAGCAGTGCTGCAGCTCAACGTGTGCACCAGGGAAATCAGTTCTCTGCCCCTGACTGTGGGGGGGAGGGAAGGGTTATACTTATAGATCAATGAAGAGAAAGAAGAGCCTCCAGGTATTCTAGATACATGTTCAAAGATACACTTCACCTTACGTTGAGTGGTCATACACTCCAATGGATTGAGCGTGCATTGGGCTTTTCCTGCATACTCATGGTCTGAGTGACACACACAACAATCATATGCAGAGATGGATAAAGTCATCATGATGTTTGAGTGGAGCTCCATATGCCACGGCAGCTTAACAAAAGGTCACTGAAACAGATTTGGTCTCAATGACTCATCCCTGTGGACAAAAAGCCTGCAAACCCTCAGAGTCACATTATGTCTCCAAACACAGGAGGAATGCAAATAAGAAGCTGAGCTGCCTACAGTTTCTTTACTATAACAATTCATACACATCACTTGCAAGTCCTCAGCCTCAAGCAAAATGAAACACCTGCCTAAATGGATGCTAATGTATGCAGTATGTTTAGTATAAGTCTCTCTAAAGCCCTGTGTATGAATTGTAAATGCACATGTTAGACTTGCCTTCAGAAAATGAAAAACTGTTTATAGACATTGAAAGCCAATTTTCTGATCTCTGGAGCAAAATGAATATACCAACTACAGCTGAACTGTGGATCAAATAATGAGAGCATCATGAGGTTGCTTAATAATTATGTGATTTTGTGGGATTGGGACCAGTGTGGGTTGCATTTATTGGCATAATTGCGGTCTATATTTAAAGGCTGTGTTACTGTACTTCGGATGTTATACTTTGCATAATAATCCCATATATAACCCCAAATTTAATTAATTTCTCAGTGATACCAATTAAGCGTATTCAATGTTTTCATTCATTCAACTCTTTTGGTATTCAATAGTAAAGAAGAAAGTAAAAATGTGATGTTCTGGTTACAATTGATGTTCATTGCTGTCAAAATGCTGTCAAAACCTCTCACTGAAACATAAACACTCATAATTTAAAACCTTCAACTAGTTTTAGCCACCAATATTTTTAAAGTAAACAATTACAGGGTTTTAAAATATCTTTATCCTGGCCTGAGTATTTGAGAATCTTTGTTTTAAGGAGTGTGTCGCGTTATTGTCAGATATCTTAAGGTTATTTTTTTCATCTTTGTAATCATCCTGCATTCAGGCTTTGAGTCCATCTGAGGTGGTTTTGAGTTATTTTAATCTACTTTAAATCTTGCTGTTGTTTTTCAGAGTCTCTGCATTTTGAGTTGTATTCTGTCGGGACAACATATTAAAATAAATCACATCAACTAAAAGCACATGCACAGCTATGTTGAGTCTTTAAGGAAGATTCTTTGAGGCAGCTTGTGGATGGTTAGAAAGTTTTTTGTATTCATCATGATTTTCTGTTCCTTTGTGGGGTTTTGTTAGACTACCACGTAACATTAACAGTTCCAGAAGCTTTGGACCAGGGCCTCCTTGACGTCTTGGTCCCGTGGGTCTGTGCCCTGCAGGCATGTTCATTAATCCTTGTATGTTTCTCGGCAACTCAGTATGGGCCAGACTTCTTACCAATGACCTGTGCTGTGTTTGGCAACAGATTGTAAAAGCAGAAGTGGAGCACCCAGACATGCCCAGAGGCCTCAGTTGGCTGATGAGCCCTGAAGGGGCAGACGGCACATATGAGACCCCCTCTGCTGCAGAGCTGCAGAGACTGATGTGGACAAAGAAAGGGACCAGCAACCATCTGGATGAGGTTTATCCCAGAATCTATATTGGAGACATGTGAGAATGAATTAATAAGTCTTACATGTTTTATTGATTGTAATTATAGGCAACTTGAAAAAAAATTCAAATCAGTATTTAAGACTCAGTGTAAAATATTGTGAATTGATTTTTTTGTTAAATCCATTCATAATAGATCATGATGTTTCCTTTTAGGTATGCAGCCAAAAACAAGAGGACACTGCAGGCTCACCGCATTACCCACATGCTTAATGCTGCCGACGGAAAGTTTAATGTGAACACGGGACCAAGCTTCTACCGAAACACCAAAATCACGTATCATGGAGTGGAAGCTTTTGACATGCCATCCTTTAATTTAAGTCCCTTCTTCTACCCAGCAGCTAACTTCATCAAGAATGCCTTGAGCTTGCCAACAGGTGAGAAGTTTTCTGAGTACTTGAGGTATTTGTCATAATTTCCACACATTAACTTTAGGGAAAAACAAAGCAGGGTACAGAAACATTTGTCAGTCATTTCTGATTACCGCAGCCTCCAATTGTATTAGTCATTAAAATGCAAATCAAACGCTAAACACAATATCAAGCCAATATCTTTCCCCCACGGTAATCTTCTCATGGGCTCAGACCTTTGTCAGGAAAATTAGTTTTACATGGATTGCATTGGTAATTTGTAAGCAACACTTTTATTGGACATGGAAATTACACAATTATGTTTGTGGCCTGCTCCTGCATGGCCTGTTATGCAAAGTGAAGTCAGTATCTGACATGACAGTAATAAGATGAGGCTCCCTTCTTCACATGCTGGCTGATCAGGAGCTCCAGTGTGTGGCAGGGCCTACAGTAATCCTTGGAAGAAATACACAGAAGCCAAGACAGTTCAATTACGCGCTTCTCTGCGCCCTAATCCTCAAGTCTGATAAGGAAGCAGGGATTACCATGTGTAGAAACATTTGTTGCTACATTGTTGTAAACTTTTAGTCAGGAGTTAGAAATACTGCTCTTCTGTGATATGCAGAATTTTTATATCACAGAGAAAAAAAAACATTTGGACATCTAAAAAATATTTGACATAATTAGATGTTGATTTTATGGTTGTAAGTGTATGTATATTTAAGGTTTCTAGAGGATGCAGAAGCTGTAAAACCATCCACAGGAAATTCTTATTGTTGCTTTTTGATTATTGGCAGGTAAAGTTTTTGTCCACTGCGCCATGGGTCTCAGTCGCTCTTCCACCTTGGTATTGGCCTATCTGATGATCCATGAGAACATGACTTTGGTGAACGCCATTAAAGCTGTCAGCACCAACAGGAATATTTTACCTAATCAGGGTTTCATGGAGCAGCTACGAAAACTGGATATAGAGCTTCACTGCCATGGATCATCAGGGAAATTGGCACGTTGATGATTGGACCTAAATAAATTGGGCTATGAAGAGCCTGGTGCAAATATATGTCTACAAAGCCACTATTGAATGTAAAATGTAAATGTAAAATGTGTTTACATTGTTAGCTGAATTCCATCTTTGCCTAAGTTCAGAAAGGTCCAACACTAAAATCATCTACCAACTTCGTGGTCTTTGAACTTCACACAGCTCACACAATGTCTGTCTCCAGTACTCCTGCACTCAGCTGCACACATGCAGAAGAAAAAACACATTTATAGTACCTTCTGAAACCACAAAGAATATGTGATCTAAACATATGGCAGTCTCTGCCTCCCTCTGGACAGGTCACCATTTCATAACAGGAGCAGGAAGTCAGAGAACCAACAAATCCACAGGCAGAATGTGCTAATTCAATATAGAAAGGCTCCCAGTTCCCCAGGGATTTGAACTAGCAACTCTCTCGCTGTGAGGCAAGGGTGCTGATACCAAAGAGTAAATATTTGAACTACATCTAAATCTTAACTCGAAATACAAGCCTTCAGATAGAATGAAAAAATTCCCCCACACACAGGATCACACACAGCTCTTAACTGCATGAGGGATGAAAGTCCTCAGCCATGTTTTGCTTATGACAAACATAGTTTCAATCAAACATCTGCATTGTGGTTTCTATATAGGATTAGTCTTTCATATTGTTTAAAATCAATAGATAACTGTATTAAGATGTGGTCTAAACTAAACTATAATAACTTCTCGCCATAATGATCACTTTCACCATTACAGCAGTTAGAACAGCAGCGACTGATCAGTTGAGCTTGTAACAACAAATGCATTTTACTTCAGTCAGATTCATCTGAGGTATAAATAGTCCACTCTCCTCTGACCCAGTCTCTGGAATGTTCAGCTGCCTCGTTTCAACAGGGTAACATCACTGGTATCCAGCTCATGAGGGAAACAGAGTGTGCCGCAGCAGTGCGCTCACAAGTTTATTACAAAGCTGCTCCTTAGGTAGGAAAGCAGGATTTTTTTTTTTCCTTCCTGAGCCATAATTGGGAAAATTCTCTTTATCGAGTTGAAAATAGATTGTGTTAATTATACAGCAACACTGAGGTGAGAGGTTTGGATATGAGCTCAGAGGAGGAGTCAAAGTATCAAACACCACCCACCTGCGATCTGCTCAGCCTTCTGCTGAAGAACAGACACCCCACTGGAGCTGTCAATGAGGTTTGGCCCGACCTCTTCATCGGGAATGCGTAAGTGACATTCTCACTTTGGGGCCCCGCTGCAACGTGGTGGTCTGATTGTGAAACTGTTGCTGCAAACATGTCGTGTATTTGGCCAACTGATGGTACAAATATACAATCTGTACATTTGAGTCACCGCTGATGCATGTAAAAAAAATATGCTTCCTGTGTTGGCCATAGGGAAGTGAAAGGCAGCTAGGAGTGACCTTCCTTGCATCATCTCACATGTCATTTACAGAGCCTCAGCTCAGGATAAAACCATGTTAGCTAATCTGCAAATAACGCATGTGGTGAACGCTGCAGATGGTCCACGGCACATTGAGACCGGGCCACGTTTCTACAGAGGCACCAACATACTGTACCGTGGAATAGAGGCACAAGACTGCAAAGACTTTGACTTGAGCCCATTCTTCCATGAAACTGCTGATTTCATTCATCAGGGTCTGAGCCAGAGAGGTACGAGTCCATTTGCAAACAGCAGAAACTCATCAGTATGCAATAGCAGAGATATTGTAGTCTAGTGCATCATAATACACACATGTATTGCATCACCATTTATAAGGGACCACATGTTCAAAGAAACACCTTAAAAAATGATGACCAAATAATGATGACATTTGTTTTGTTTGCATATTATACACTCAAGGAGGCTAATGAATTTTAATATGAAAGCTCAACTGTCAAATGCCTGCTGCAATAACCAGGTGTTTGGGGATTCCAGCTGAAATCACACTTTTGTTTGTGCATTTAAATGTTGCCCCATTTTGAGTTGAAATTCATGAAAAAGCATATTTCAATGTAAAGTTCAAGTTCCATTTTGCATTAGCAGCAACATTTTTTTTTCAAAAGAAGACCCCTATAGGCTCACATGTACAAGATAAAATTAACTATGTCTCAATTGCCTTATCTGTCACCGTTAGGGGTTGAAACAACCCATCAGTCTTGACTTCCATGGTAGATTTGGCAGGTATTATTATGTGGGATGCTCTTTCTGATGCAACCGTTACATAAACAAAACACAGAACCCTGTTTCAGGCAACTGGGGGTTCAATATTTTGCCCACAGAGACTTGCCTGGGCTCAAACCTCCCCATTGCAAAGGCAACTGCTTTTACTCCTGATCCACAGGCTGACAGCTTAACTGCCTAGAGAGTTTAGAATTAGGAATAAAATTACACAAAGCACTGCTGTTTTCCCATTGTAAAAAACACATACACAATCATCAAATAATCCCACTGCTGCAGGTTTTCAAGCAAAAAAAACACAGTTCTACTGTTTATGGAGGTGAAAATGTAAGTATATCCTGTCTTCTATCAATGTAGGTAGAGTGCTTGTTCACTGTGCTCGAGGAATCAGCCGCTCAGCTACTCTTGTGCTGGCCTTCCTGATGATCAAAGAAAGACTCACTCTTGTGGAGGCGGTGGAGGTTGTTTGCAGGAGCAGAAACATCCTCCCAAACATCGGGTTTTTGAACCAGCTCTGTCATCTGGACACAACCTTGGCTTCACAGAGGGGAAGGACAGAACATCTGGAGGACGAGTGGAGACATGAATGAAGGGTTAACTATGAGGCGTGACACAAAAGCTGACCATCTTTTGTCTTTACATGACACCGGAACATTTTATGGGAGCTCCTTTTATGACAAATCAAGGTTATACTGAATGAAATAAAAACACAAATGTGCCCTGGACTGAATATTTTGATTTTTTAAAATAAATATCTAGACACATTCTTGTAATTCCAGGAATTTCCTTTTGCTACACTTCATCTTTTCTGCATTCAGGCTTTACAAAGTTTGAAACTTTAAGCAAAAAACACATTTTCTGACTCGGGGAAAACACAATTTACTGGACAAAAAGGGTCAAACTGCTCTGGTGCAGCTCTATAGATTTGGTTGGCTTCTTCCTGTCAGGGAAATGGGTCTTGGTGGAGGACTCAGGCGCGGAGATATGTGAAAAAAGGTTTATTGAAACAAAAATGCACTCACAAGGACTGGATGGCAGACATGGGTTCAAAACAAGGCTGTGGCAAAACTAAGAGCAAAGTAACAAAGCAAGGAAGACAAAACTATGAACAAAGTACCAAAGCAATAAAGTTAACAAAACATGGCTATGGAACAAAGTAAATAAGACTGTGGCAAAAATCTAACCTGGCCTGACGTGGGGAGACGGAAGACGAAAAGTGACGAAGACGCACTCGCACAGGACATGGGAAACGAGGACTATTTAAACACATAAGGGAGGGGAACCCCAGGTGTACACAATAGGTAATCAAGACATGACGAGACACCAGACAATCCCCCAGACGTGACACTTCCTTGATCCAGATCAAGGTTTTTTTTTTCCTTCATTGACATAAAAAAGATTTCAGGGAACCATGCAAGTATGAGAAAACTTTACATTTCATAGCTCTAAATGTTAAATACTCATACTGAAATAGTTTAACAAGATTTTTTTAAAACTCAGCCATAGACAAAAAGTCCAAAATAAGGAATATTTAAAGAGAGAAAGTTCACATAATTCCAGTATTAGATACTGTATGTCATCGTGTTGACTGGTGGCAATTAACTAATTATTCAAATAATCAAAATGTATACCGATTTTTAAATGTTTTCTTATATTTCTTAAACCTTTAGTTGTTATTCAGTCAGACTTTATTATAAATCTTTGTATTTGCGTTGTTATTATTATGGGCCATAAATTCTTTACTTAATATTCAAAAGAGAACGGCCATTCTTTTCGGGTCTGTCAGATCTGTTACTAAAACAGCCCTCTAAAAAACTCCTATCTGCTGAGCAATGACATGCTTCCTGAAATGTTTGACAAAAAGACGGGAAAAAACTGAACGCAACATGTACTTGAAAACAGAAGAAATGCATAGTAAGTGTAAAAATGAAGCTAAAATGTGAAGGAACACTGATATGATCCTCTGAGTTTGCATCTAATACACAGCGCGATAAGCATCAACTGCCAAGACCCCTGCTGCACTTGAACGGCACAAAGACAGCATATACCTATAAATAAACAATGCTCCACTTACTTATTCACATTTCTCAAAATACAGCGTCTTAACTGCTGCAGTCTGGTGACGTACTGTTAAAACTGTGATGTGTCTAAAAAGGTTTGATACGAAATGACAAAAATGTACCAGCATGGTTCTGAGCGTGGATACAGATTCAGGTCAGACTTTGAAAAGAGATGAAACGCTGAAGCTATCTTAATAAGAAATGCTCTCCAGAGCTCAGTGGGAGAAATATGCTGTCAAAATAAAAGGAATTGGATATCACAGGTTTAATGACTTCACTGTCAGAATGAATGATGGCAGAGTATGAAGATATGAGGGGAAAATAAAAGAGCCCGATGGTGTGAAAACTCAGTCTGACATGTTAGCAGCTTCATCCAGCCACTCTGCAATACAGTTATCATCACGCTCCCACTTTTGGGGCACACATTCAGATCTCTGAATGGACTGTGCATATCATATAATGGGGAATCAAAGACATATGCCATCCTGTGAAAAGCCTCATCTGTCAAGCAGTCTGACACATTTCGGTTCTCCTCTGGCCCCTGGAGGCTCCAGAAGATGCAGAACATGCTTAACGGGTGTTGTGAAGCTGCGCTTATACGGTTTCTCCAGCATCTAAAGATATGCAGAGAGGCTAAGAGAGACTGACACAATTTCAAGGAGTCGCTCATACACAAAGAAGCAAAAGCTAAGAGTGTCCTGTTCACTCCAGTGAATATGGGTATCCTTTGGCAAATGCAAAGTTTGGATAAGCACAGCTTCCTGCTGGCAGCAGAGATTAAAGTTGTGTGTTTAGACTTGGATGGCAGGGACTGGCTGGTTGGAAGTTTTCCCCACAGGCAGAGAACATGGCAACTAAGGTCAGGGTCTTGCCACATCACAGCCCTAAAAATATCCCCTGGATCTGATGCCCGTCACAGACGCGGTTATACAATCCGTGCCCTGACTTGAGCCTGCCATAACTAAACCTTCCCATATTCTGCCTTTGCAGGCTGCTTGACAGCAAGATGCCCAAATTATGAACCACACATTCTGGACAAAGACAGTGAAGGACATTGATATCTTGGTGAGCTCTGTGAAATATGCATGTTGAAAATAAAAGACAAAAAGCGTCAAATTCATGACTATTGGCATTTGTTCTTCCTCCTCTAGCAAATGTACCACGTGTGAAAGGCAGCCGCGAGGAGGAAATGGCTTCTCACACGACTGGCACAACATTAAATGCTACAAAAGCAGCAGAAGAATCCAGCCCAGTGGACGATTATGCCACACCTGGAGGCTATGAGCTGGAGAAAATTCTAAACCGGGGGAGTGTGGCTTACACTCGTGTCAACGAAGTCTGGCCCAATGTCTACATTGGGGACGAGTAAGTAAAGCACTAAATTACTAAAATGTTATTAGAATAGGGGTATTAGCAGGATATCCATAATGGCCTCTTGCAGGCAGACTGCAAAGGACAAATTTAACCTGAAGAAGCTGGGGATTACTCACATCTTGAATGCAGCAGAAGGTACATGGAACAGCGTGGACACTGGAGCTTGTTACTACACCGACATGAACATTGTTTACTACGGCGTGGTAGCAGAAGACGTCCCGACATTTAACCTGAGCCAGCATTTCTCCTCTGCTGCCCAGTTTATTAAGGAAACCCTCAGCAATCCTCAGAGTAAGAGCATTTTTAGCATTCCCTGATGATACTTAAACATTTTTTTTTTAGTTTTTAGTTCAAAACTACATTGTGATAATGGGGAAATTACCTCCTCACATATTTCCAGATAAACTGCTGGTGCACTGTGTGATGGGAAGGAGCCGATCGGCCACTCTTTTCCTCGCCTACCTCATGATATACGAGAACATGACAGTCGTTGACGCCATCGAGCATGTCAAAAATCGGAGGAGGATCATCCCCAACTTTGGCTTTCTGAAGCAGCTGAGAGAGTTAGACATGCAGCTCCTTGAGAAGAGGAAGAGCTCGACAGAGTAGCCCATTGTACTCTGTGGAATACTGTAGAATACTGAAGTCAAGCCTCTGGAATTAAATCAAGATTCAAGAGCAGTCTCAAATTATCTGGACAAGTTCTGGTCCGGACAAAGACTTTCTTTTCTTTTCCAAGTACTTATTCTCTCTGCCTACACCTACAACAAGCCTACTACTATCAATTGTTTCAAATCAAAACTGAACAATCAAGTACATGGTCAATCATAATTTATTCTTATGCTAAAATGTACAGCATTTTAAGTGACTGACAAAAGGAGAAAAGTCATAAATACAAGAATGTCATTCTGTCTGATTTGTGTGCACATAGCCAGGTATTTCCCTCCTGTTCTTACCAGCAACTCTGTACAGGTACAAAGGCTACAAAAAGAGCAATATTAACAAAAACACAAGTACAAGTTGCGTTTTACATGCAATCCATTAGCTTAGTTTGGTCTATTCACAGGCTCTACACTTCAGTAAAATATAAATCCAACATTTTATAAAGATAGAAAACAAATCTACAGATGGAATGAAAACGTAGCTTTAAAGGCATTATGTAAAATATCAACTTTGGACTAAATTTATATCTTCTTTATTTGTTATTCATCATTATAATCATTTAGTTCTTTTAAATTCTGCCACACTTCTGGACACTTTGAAATGTTTTAGAATTTTCAGGGTACAAACACTGAGATATGCTTTGTTATTTTGACAGAAATCAGTCTGTTTTATTAAACAGAAAGCTGCCTCAGAGAGATCTGTTACAAAAGACTTCAGAATTATACATACATCGCAATAAAACCTCTCAAACCAAACAGAAAACAGGACTAAGTTTACATTTTTTTTTACATTATTAGATTTAACAAAATATAGTTTCATCTTTCTCCCTGTGGAGGGAAACCTAATAAAGGCCAGATACTTTTAAAATGGCTTGCTATTAAGCACAACACTTGTACAGTACTACTCAATGCACTGTCACTAACAGAGACCGAAGCATGCTTTTTCTCACTTTACAAAATAAGTACAATAATTTAAATATACAAAGGCATGATTATAGTACAAACTAATTGTCAGCACTGTTAGACAGGTACACTGAACAGGTTCAAACAGCCACTATCTCCATTTGTAGCAGGCACATTAGATGGCTTCACTTGAGGCTGCTACACAACTGCAAGACCGATGATGAATTCTCTACGTCTGAGCTCTGAACCCGCCCGGCTAAAGACACATCAGAGACACTAACATTAATTAAATAGATTTTCATCGTAATGATGTAAGGCTTCCCATCTGGAGGACAAAAATACGTTTTAACGTTAGTTTTAATGTTAACTCACTGATGAAAAAATTTGCATTCTTTCCAAGTGCTGCTGCTGGTTTTTAAGAAATAAACAAAACAAAAAGATAATGAAAAACACAAGAAAGGCCAGATCAGTGCATCTTTGAGACAGCCAAATGCACGTGAGACGCACCAGCTCAGTCCTGCGGAGTTACCGCCTGATGAAAGGCCCTTTCAGGGACTGCTTGGACATGCCTGTGTTCATGTAACCATGGTGACCAGCTGGAGAGTACACCATGTTGCCATGTGGTGGAGCCTGCATGGGCTGCTGGGGGTATGGCTGTGTTCCCATCATGCCCATCTGCATAGAGTACTGGGGTGACTGGTTCATATATGCATGGTTGCCATGGTAGCCGCTGTTCATCATGGGCTGGCTCATGCTGTAGCCATTCATGGCGTTGAGGGAGGGCATGTTCATGGAGTTGACATTGTAGCTTGGTGCCGGCATGATGTTCATGCTCATGTTCATGCGTGGCATGGCGGCCAGCGTCCTGGACGGCGCCTGCATGGCGACAGTCTGTGGCGGCCGCGCGTACATCTGCTGCTGGTGGTGCGACAGCTGGGTGGACTTGGAGCGCGCAGAGATGTGATTCTTAGACGTCATCTGGGGCTGGATGCGCTGCGAGGGCGGGATGCCCACGTTGCGCTGGAGCATCATGGGCGGCGGTGAGCTGAGATTCGGGGGTGGGGTCATGGTGGCCTGCACCTGGGGGTTGGGGACTCGATGTGGGGTCTGGGACAAAGACACCAGGCTCGAGTGCTGTGACGACAGCGAGGGGGTGTTTGCATAAGATGTAATGGGGTGTGAGGACGCGTGGTTGAAGGGAAGTGAGCGAGGGTGGTCGATAAATGTGTTCGTGAACTGCTGCAGCTTGGCCAGACTAAGGCCTGAGGACTGAGAGTAGTGCCCGCTGCCGTACTCCCCCTGATGGTTGATCCTCTCGTAGAGGGCAAAGTTGGGATTGCCAGACTCGGGAATGTCTGCCAGCTGCATGGTGGTGGTGAAATTGGTGGGTATGGCGCACTGTGCCATGGGCTGCTGCTGGCTGTGCTGGCTGTGTTGATTGTGAAGACTATGCTGAGCATGCTGATTGTGCTGGCTGAGCTGATTGTGCTGCAGGTGGTGATTGTGGTGGTGACTATGCTGGTTGAGAGGATTGTGTTGACTATGCTGGGCGAGCTGATTGTGTGGACCGTGCTGATTGTGTTGGCTGTGCTGATTGTGTGGGCCGTGCCTGCTGTGGGAGTTGTGTTGAGTGCGCTGGCTGTGTTGGCTGTGCTGGTTGTGCTGGCTGTTGCTGGGGGGCCTCTCCACCACCACGCAGCCCTGCGGTGATTTGACGTTGCAGTGCGGTGGTGAGCTCAGGCTGTTCTGCTGAATCATCCCGCAGCTGCCAGGGTTAACTGCAGCCATTTGTTGGCTCACAGCACAGCTGCTCTGGGGCAGACCACTGGGGGGCATAGTGCCATATGAGCAGCTGTTCTGGGAGGGGCCTGCCCCACAGATGCTACCCCCCATGGTGGAGTCGTAGCTGCTGGGGTTCTCGTAGTTTTCCGTGGTACTCTCAATACTGCCCAGATCGCTGAAGCCGCTGTCCACCACTTGTTGGGAGTGATCGGACACAGACGGCACATCCATCATGGGGCTCGTCTCCATGTTGTGGAGTGAGGGAACTGAGATAGCGCTGTGGTCAGGGCTGATCTGGGTGTAGCCACTCTCAAGGATGGAGACAGCTGGGCTGTTAACAGAGCGTACCGACTGGCTTGGATGAGACTGTGCAGAGGAAAGGGGGCTGCTGTGGTCTGACTGGGGGCAATCGTCCAGCGAGGTGAGCTGGGGACTCTGAGCCACGTGGGTAAAGGTCTGCAGATTTCTGCAAGGCTCCTGGCTCTCCACACAGTCCTGGAAAACATTATCTCCCTCACTTTGCTGCGTCAGGGACTGAACAGCTTGGGCTGTTTCTGAGTCAATCTCTGAACAGACTGGGGGATCCTCTCTTAGCACAGGGCTGAGTGTTGACCTCCCTGTGGGTGGAAGAGGTGGGTGATTCGGACAGGGACTGGGGGCGCTTTCTTCCTCTGACTCAGAGTCTGCAGGGTTATCAGAGTCTATGGCTGCTACCGAAGCGACTGGTGCTCCTTCAGGTGGTGGTGCTGCTGCTTCTGTTACCGTTGTTTCATCCTGGGTATTTTGTGCAGCAGAGGTTGGGATCTCCTCATCGCACAATACTTTAGAAACCTGCTGACTCATTTCAGAGCCATTGTCTTCTTTTGGATCTAAAAAAGTTTGGGAGCATTTTGGTATGTCTTTTGAACTGCTTTCCAACAACTCTATACTCTCAGGTCCTGCTGCCGTCTTCGTGTGACAGTCTTCATCATCTGCACCTTGATCCTCAGGCTGAGTTCTCTGCTCATCCTCGTCATCTTCCTCATTGTCATTCTCCACTGATACAGCTCTCTGAGTGCTGTGCTCCACATCCTTCACTGGTGAGCCTCGCTCATGCCCACTCTCTTGCTGGGCATGGTCACACAGTTCTGGGGAGCCGCATCTGTCGACAGGCCTAGGTGAGACAACATCGGCAGAGGCAGCAGGTGAGCACACCGGAGAAACCACCGGTGATCCTTCAGGGGAGCTTGACTTCTGGGAGCCACGGTCCATGGGGCTAAAGGGCTCACAGAGGCCTTCTTGCATTACATCTGGACTAGCCGAGTCCCTGCCTGCTTTGCTGCCTTCGTCTGCACTCCCAATATCCTGCTCAGGTTCAGATTTAGCTTCCTCTGTCTGAATATGGTGCTGCTCCGCCTCCATCGGTGTTTCGGGGGGAGTGTACAGGTTCAACTTAAAACCCATCTTTCGTTCATTCTTCAGCCTCCATTTGGGAGGGCCACGTTTCACTCCTTTGGGCCAGCCCTTTTTCCTTTTCACTGGACGGGGTCTGCTGGGTCTCTTGGATAAAATGTCAGCGCCTACAGATGAAAAAAAATAAATTCTTGTCATAAAAGGGCAAAAATGGTGGATTACATCAATTATCTGAAACTAACAAGTAAAATACATGTTCTCAAATGGATTGAAATACCTTCATCCCAGTGCTCAAGATTGTCTTTTTGTGCATTCTTTTCCAGTCTTGGGCGACCTCTCTGGCGTTTCATTGGTGTAGTTTGCATCTTGGCCTTTCGCGCCTCCTCCATCTCCTCCTCATCTTCCTCCATATCACCCATTCTGGAGGTGCGCTCCAGCAGGGGCATTGGACGTTCATCCTCTGAGTTGTCAAATGGCTCGTTCAGCACCTCCGTTGTCTCAGAAATGGTCTCTGTAGTTACACTGCTGTTTATTCGCTTTCTCTTACGCCCTCTCTTCTTGAGAACACAGGTTCTCTGAAAGAAAAAGAAAAGAAGAACCAATGAAGACAGAGTAGTACCTCCTTCGCAGTCGAGTAGATTTGTTAAGCCTGAAAATCGGGGCACTAGGGGGGTCCTCCGTGAGGACATAAGATAAACTTATTCAGGTTTCTGTGCTAAATGTTTAAACCACACTGCAAGACTAAATGTTTAAGCAATGGAGCCTGCTGTGGAAAACCACAAATGAGAAAGGCAGAGTGAGCAGAAACCACAGTCTATATTTTACATTCTCCAGTTGTTTCCCATCAGTTGCCTGCGACTTTAACGCTCTTTTCTCTGAAATCCTTCACAAGGAGAATGTGAAATCAATACTGTAGCTAATGCACTAAATAAACTCCCAACTGCCAGTGTCATATTTTTATGGTTTCCATACAGCTATTCTTTTAGAGGTCTCTCTGACATCATGCAGTCAGCTGTAATATTATCTACAGCACAAGGGGGCAGTGCCATATAGATGGAACAGATGTGAGAAGCACATAGGAGGGCGGTAAATTAACCATGACCATTGACAATAGTGCAAGGTTTAGCCAGCACAGTCTCAAAATTGCCAGTGAAAACACAATCTATTATCTACTGCTGCAGGCACCCAGGGAGGCTGCAGATGGCAGGAGGAAGCCACTGAACCTTTCACTCACATTAGGAATATCTGTCAAACATTTCTATCTCACTCAAGCAAACAAAAAAGTATTTACTGAAAAAATTAAGCAACCAAATGTACATCAAGTTCCACTTTATCTTACAAGTTAAAACTACCGATATACTAGCGACTTGGGGTGCAGACAAAAGTGTGATTCAACAAACACTGAAAGTAACCTTTCTTTTGGCTGCAAGCATCGCATGGGCTTTTGTAAGGATGGGTGGTGAGCCATCGGAGTCGTCGTCTTCATCATCATCAGCTTCATCATCACTCACTGGCTCCAACTGCTGGATGCGCCTGGTCCAGGGAGGTGCAGGGCGGCGCTCATAGGTCCTGTAGGGAATCTTGCAGCGGACCTTTGTGAGAGGTTGCCTGCCACCATGAGTCATCATGTGGCCCTCTCTCTCCTCCTGCTCCCAGCAACTGGCCTGCTCCTTCAGCCGCTCGGCCTGGTAATTAAACAGACAAGACGCATTATCTCTGGGAAAGGAGCACGTGTGGATGGAACATCTGAGCAACGAGGCTAATGAGAAAACAAGAGATTTGAATTAGCATCATGACAAATGAATGACTGCAGGTTTTTCCAGATAATATGAGCCGTGTCTGCCCGTCATGATGGAAACATTTCTGTTAAACAACCGTGGAAAGATTGCACTTCATGGAATATTCTGTACTATCAATTATGCGGTGAACTGATTTAGGGCAATTTTGCACAACATTAGATGCCTGCTGACAGGGAGAATGCCTTTCCCATTAACGGCCTTTATTTGAACTCCCCCGCTCATCAAACAAGCATCCACTAACAGTGTTTCAGGCAGCTGTAAACAAACGGCTAGTGTCTCTTAAAGGAAAAAACCTACATCCATCTCTGCCTCCCTCTCCTCCTCAGACAGGACGGCGCTCAGAGCTGTGGATGGTGTCCAGCGCAGAGCATGCGGGTCTACTTCATTATGACGCGGGTGAGCTCTCAGCCTCTCCATGTGCCTCTGAATCAATCTCTCTTTTCTGATTAGCACAATCCTACGACACAGAGAGAAAAGGATGTGGGTAAACAGAGCATTGCACAGTGGATGGAATCTATTCTCTCTGCAAAGGCTGAAAGATGGCGACGTGTGCTTAAATACAAGCACAAAGACAGGCTCTTTGAGACCACAGGTGCTCCATGTCCTTCGGGGTACTTAACCTGACTTACTTCTGTCAATATTCAGCAGCATTAATGGATATGCAGTTAAAAATACTTGCTGGCCTGGATAAGTCACACAGCAGTGCCGGCTGTGTGGCTCAGACACTGACCTGCCATCGTGCCTGTCAATCATGCCGAGCTGCTGGAGAGTAGCGGCGATGTCGTGTGGACACATCCCAGTGGCCCTGCTTATTCCTTTAACACTGATGTGTTTATCTGGGTGCTTATAAAGGTGTTCCAATATGACACTTTTCCAATATGCCAGGTAGGATAAGCGACCCAGATCTGACAGCGGCTTCTCCGGAGAGCCAGCTTGTCCTTCTTGCCTTGTGAGAAGGTAACCTAAAAAGACACAAAAACAAACAAAAAAAAGTTTTCTTCACGACTGAGGCAGCTGTTTTTTTTTCAGACTGCAAATCAACCCCTTAGGGTTCAGATACTCATGTCAAGATGTGGGATTCACCTACATAGTGTAAAAAGGGAAGAAAGGCAATCATATTTCCATTTCTTCTACCTCTGTCAGAAACTATGATACATGCTGGCAAGGGTGGCCAAAGAGGTTGAAAGAGAGGAGCAGCGACAACAATGTGACAGTGAAAAAGAGCAGCAGCTGGGTCTCACTACTCACAGAAGACTGCACTTAGGAGAGATAACGAACAAGAAAAAAGCTAATACTAATATGTGTGCAAGTATAATTAGTTTTACGGCAGTCCAGTCAAGGGTCATCCATTATGAGTGGCATGAAATTAATTAATGCCTTAATGTGCACCCAATTCCAAGAGCCAAACAAGCAAATCTAATCACCAAACACTGAACACATTACATTTCACTAATCATGACAATACTCATTACCAAGACTGAGAAAATGAGCCTCTGATAACAAATATGTAGCAGTGAATATTGAAAGAAATTAAATTAAAATGTACTTTGTTTTTCAGTCATAAATCAACCCAAAGAGCGACTTTGAGTTCTTTTAATCATGTTTTCAAAGGGCACTTTTTTTCAACACAGGCGCATATAATAATTCTGAGCACTGAGTGCTGCCTGAGACAAAGTGTTACTCTAATACAATCCAATATAACAGAAAATCTTAATCTAAACAACTCCTAGCTCCAAAGCTACATTTTCCAATAAAGCCTTCAAAGAGCTGCAAACTCAGATGTGCTCAATCTCCCTTAATCCCTGTCTTTGTTATCAGCACGCTCTAAAAAATCACAGATCCTCTCGCATCTCTGTCTCAATGGCTCCCAAAGTGAACAGGAAATCAAATGCTCCATTACCGCCTGCCCTCCCAGGGCTCACTTTTCTCCTTCTCTTCCCTGCATACAAGTTGACAAAGAAACAATTCTTTAAAATAGTAAAAAGAAGGCCCACAATGACAAAAAAACTGCCTGACTAAACACAGAAATCCACTCAAGCCAGCAACTGTTTTCCTAAGTGGACCACAAAGCTATAAATACTGTATGTGATGCAGTTATTACACTAAAACATAAAAGCAGCACCTACGTCTTATCACAAGTCAAGGAGACAGAACGGGGGGCATTTTTCATTGAAAAAGCTCTTTAGGCAATGCTTAGGTAAAATACTAACAGCCTTCAAATGATGCAGGCGGCCAGAATGTTGTTTCTCAGTCCTAATCATCTGTGATTGCTGTTCATGAATGTTCTTGATTAGACTCCTTCAATGCCTTAACAAAATAACATCACCTTGCCACAAGCTACAAATCCACCCTTTAATCTGAAACTGTTTGTGAAAACAGATGAAAAAGGGTGATTTTGATGGTCTAAAAAGCATTAAGGAACTTACTGAAATCAATGAGGAACCTTCCAAATCCTTGCCTTTGGTACTGAGGCATGATCATTATGCAGGAGACATTGTACTTCTGCTGGCAAAGCTTTTCCTGAGGGAAGGGGAAACAGATCAAGTATGTCAGAGCTCTGCTGAAGCTGGCAATTTACTGCACCTGCCATTGTCCTTGTCTTAAGCTGTGCACATGCTCACCACACACAGATTTTCATTTTCAAACTATCCCTGTGTGAGAATTAGGTTAATAACTGTGATTGTTAGTTAATCTGCTGATTAATTAGATGGTTAATAAGAAGATATATATATACATTTATTGGATGAAAAAATGCTAAATTATCAATTCCCGATGTTAAATAGTGAAAAGCTTCAAATTCCCACATGCAAAGTGCTGGATTCACCATTTTTTGACAAGCCAAATCAATACAAAATATCTTTCAGGCATATTTGTGAATTTAGGTTACATCTAAGTTGCAAAAATTGACAAACTGCAATGAAGTGTTTCAGTATAAGAACCATCATTCAAAAATGATGTGCGGTATTTTTTCGTTTCCCATAAAAATCACTCTGTAATTCATACCTTGGAGAAATAGCCCACAAGATGACAGCCTTTCTCGTCGTTCTTTGTAAGTATGTAGAAGAGGAAAGGCTCCACATCATAATACAAGGTCTTGTGATCCAGGAAAAGCTTGGCTAACAGGCAGAGGTTTTGGCAGAAGAGTTTGCTGACATTTCCATCAACCTAAACACGGAATAAAAAGAGCAAGGGGACACTGCTCAGACAGTTCCAATTTTTCCCTCTCCCTCCCATTCAGTGGTGAGATGTCATGCAGCATACAGTTACTGCTTTATTGCTTTAAAGGATAGCTGACCTCAAATACGGAAAGGTTGTTCTTTCTGTAGATTTCATTGGCTGGTGGGTGGAACCAGCCACACTTCTTTGTGTGTCTCTGGAGAATGTTTTTGCTTCTCATGTATTTCAGACAGAACTCACACAGATAAAGCTTTTGTAATCTGGTGATGACAGAAGGAAGGATTTTATAATGACACCTAAATATAAATGTGACTCAAATAACATGTTTCGTTTCTGTTACTTCGAGTAAAACAACAAAACACAAAGCATTACCTTGAATATTCAGGTGGGTATGGTGATGAGTACCAGGTCTGAATCTCATACTTCCCGAATTCAATTACAGCTGGGCATCGATTGGAATCCGTGTTCACCAGAGATCCCGTTTTCTGTGAGAAGATGTTATAAAGGCAAACTGTTAAAGTCAGTGACCCAGATAATTCAATGTTACAGTATCTCCTTTCACAAGTCCAGGAACTGTGCCATGACAAATTCATATAACGATATGACGATATACCTCACAATTCTCCCTGGAAAATGAAAGATACACCACATCTGAACAATATCTCACAAAAGTTTAAATCTGTTTTCATGATAATCTACTTGTTCATGTGTCTTGCCATGATATCCAATTCTACAATCACTGTGGTAATGTGTCAGAATATGTACATTGATGCAGATAGAGACAGGAGTTGTTTTGGCTTTTTAGAAAAAACTAAAAAAATAATTTGGCTGTGGCCAAAATATAAACAAAAGGACAAAGAGTCAATGCTGATTTATCTATGCAACAGTGCAAGTAAAGTGGAACAGCAGAAGAACAACAATTATACTGATCCACTTTAGATAGGATTGATGTAACAGGATATCAAGCTAAGGTGACAAACTTGTGGTCCTGCTGGTGGTAATAAGTGGCCGAAAAAAGAACCTGCCAGGAAGAAAACGACTAATCTGAGGTGCACCATTTTCATCTTCTTTTGGCTTGTAACTGATGATAAAAATATTTGGCATGGAACACTGAATAAATCTATGTGTCTGATTGTGTATTTTGTGTGAAGCACCGTGTCCTTTGTTTCAGATTCTTTTCACAGATTAAAGGATAAAGCTGCAAACATATCTCACATATTTAATTCATGTTGTTCCCTCACCTGAGCAGCGAGTTCCTGGACACGTGCAAACGTTTCAATGTCCTCCTCTGTAACATGGCCTCTGGACATGGCCACGAACCCTGTCAGGGCCTCCTGCTTCACATGTAGCTCCCCGTTGTGGCCTGTTACAGGCACAATAACACAACATCAACACATCAGACGACATATAATCACCAGCCTATCTGAAGCTGCCATAGCTGAATAATCTAATAAATGCATTCTATGCAAATGTGCTTATACAGTGAGTACTGCTGCTGAGCCTGTTTAAGGCTGGGTCTCTGAGGGAATTTCACAATGTATCATCTTTGGATGTTTATGTGAAAATCCCTAATGTAATGAAGTGAGAAACTAAATCACACTAATTGCATAACCGCTTTCATGTGCTTAGTCATCCACCAAGACAGTTTCCCATGAATTAAGAAGCAGATGCAGTGAAGGGAGCAAGTGTCGACATGAAAAGCAACTGATGTTGGAAAGCAGGCAGTAATTTTATGAAAGACATCAACACCATGATTTAACCACCAAAACAAAAACCCATTACAAGTGGAAGTGATGTGTCATTAGCATATTTATGGATATGTTCTGCTGGAGAACTTAATGCTTGTGCAGGATATTGTTTAGATTTTCTTGAAACATGTGTTTACTTCATCTTCATTCCTGAAGACAGTGAAATGTTAGAGGACATTTGGGTGTAATCATCATGTCAGTTCTGAGTCAACCTGGGTGGGTGAATCACTGGGTTGAATGTGTCTAATGACCACTGGAACTGAGGTTGAGAGTGATTTTCAGAGTGAGGGTGGGATGAGGAAGAGTGCGATGTGACAGCAATATTCTACGATGTAGTGCTCAAAATGTGCACACTACGGCAGAGGGTCAAGGACAGAGCAAAGAGCAACATGAGGGAGTTAGTGGGCCATGCACTATGACAAAAAGCCAACGGGCGAGAGGATGGAAGCCACGTAAACTTCGCAGCCAAGTCAGAACGCAACCAAACTGTGTTAATGAACTAAAAACAATTCAAATCAGGAAGAGGATTAGTAGTCTGTTAGAATGTTGAGGGTGTCTTCTCAATGAAAGATTAGCTTTAGTTTGGAAAAAAATAATGCGAGTGTCAAGCTTTACAAAAAAAAAAGAAGAAGAAGCTTAAAGGTGTGGAGACGCAGGTCTTGGCTTGAAGTCTGAGCCTTGCTTACCATGATTATTCTCAGGCTTAATTCTTCCGTCTGTCAAGTCTCCCTTTCCTGGTGAGGGGGCTCCCTTCAGAGGGCTCACTTTATACCTCAGCCTGCCTAGTGTCCTGTGCTTTTTAAGGAAAGGGTTACGTTTGAAATGACTGACCATCTTAAACGGGTGTCCTCTGGGTCGGCCAAGCCCGACAGATGTGGAGTGTAACCTATTTTTATTTAACTCGTTTTTTCCAAGGCACTGTGGCCCCGTTTTGGACAAATCCTGCTTATGGGGTATACGCTTAGGTGGTGCGTAGGATGGTGGTCTCTTTTTCCGCGATTGTCCCTGAGTAGTAAAAATGTGAGAGAGTCCGTCAAAAAGTCCCTTAAGTTGGCTGCTGCTGCAGAGACTACTCAGGGAAGGAACACTAGACTGGCTGGAAGAGCTCTGGGGTGAGTTAGCAGAAGTGGAGCTGCTGGACACCTGCGAGGGGGGGCTAAATCCTGGCAATGTAGAAGTGGTAGGAAGTGCAGAGGATGATGCGGTTATCTTTTGAGAGGCATCAGCAGCAAAGGCAAACGGCTCTGGTGGCTTGGACAGTTGGGGAGGACACTTGTCTATAGAGCTGAACTGTCTGACGGGCAACTCTACGCCTACGGCTCGCGAGCGACGTCCCACAGGGGAAGGAGTAAAGAATTTGGATAGCCCATCAATAAGCCCTTTGGGTTTCTTGTGAGTGAGTGTGGCTGGGGTGGAGGTGGGCGTGAGGGAGGGAGTGGTGGTGGGAAGGGGAGTGGTGATTTGAGTGGCGTTGACCGCACAACAAGGTTCTGCGACAGCCATTCTGTCTCTGGCGTCCTTCACAGATGCAGCATGACCAGATGAAGGTGTGGAACAGACGGTAATCTTTTGACCCCTACCAGGTGACCCCCTTCCTCCAAGTGCTACCATGGAGCCATCACCACTGGTTACACACCTGCCGGGTCAAGGACAAAGAGGCCCATTGTAAAACAGGAGCATTTTCTCATGCATGTAATTTTACTTTCTACTTTGAATTCACCTTTGCTTCATTTATCATTTCAGTAATCATTTATTTATTTTACATGTGGAGTGCTAATAACAGGATGTTTTTTCTGTCAGCTGTAATACAAATTGCCTAAAAGTAAATCAATCTGTCCAGCATAACTCCACCTAAACCAGCTTTATAATTTACAGTACAGGTCAGGCAACATACTGTCATCATCTGGGCTTGTATGTCTTCTCAGAGAATGCATACTATCATACCACATGGGGAATTTTCTTTCGAGGAAAGCGCTAACATTCAGCTCTCTGCTCTCTTACATTCTTTGTTTGAGCTTATTTCTGGGCCTTCCGATTGGCTTTGCATATCGACGTTTGATCTGATCGGCCTTCTTGTGCAGCAGTTTCTTCCCATTCTCCTTTGGCCTGCAGACTTGGCAGATCCAGGTTCCTGGAGAGGATCCAAACACAGAGAATAACATTAGGGTGGGTTCATCAATTCAGAGGACATACAGTACATTCGTTTGAAACATTTCCTTTAATACAAAGCGCTGGCGAGAATCCCACCAGCTCACAATGACAATCAATTACTCAGCACAAAGCGAAAATCCATAAGAAAAACACTGGGTCAATTCTCTGTCCAGCGAAATAGACTTCGTGTCAGCTTGTTGAACCCAGCTATGTGACTTGTATGAATTGCCTGCCAAATATTCAACAACAGTATGTGCACCATCATTACAAGCCTTGCTTTAGGGTCAGTACTGTAATCCAGAGATAGTGAATCTCCCTGGGGATGCTGGAATAATTTGATATGCATGCAAAGCCCCTAATAAGCCATTGCTGCTTCTCTGTGTGCTGAGTGACAGCCCCAAACGGCCGTCTGTGAAGACAAGCCCTTGAATTGACAGCAGAAGGGGAAACTGAGAAGCCAGACAGCATAAACACCTCACCTTTTGGCATTCTTGAAAGTGGCGGATCGCAGCATTCCATGTGAAAGCCCCGATCGCATGAATCGCAGAAAAGCATCTCATCCTGAAAAGGAAAAGCAGGCATGTCTAAGGGATGTCCCTGTTGCATACATGTAAACATCCCTGTCATTTAAAGTCTTTCAGAAAAATAAGCTCAATTGTGCACACGAGAGGCTTTACAAATCTTGACAAGTCCTCGGAGATGCACTAAATGGGTTCTACCTTCAAGCTAACGACACAGAATAATGGTCTGTAAAGATGTATGCATTATACTCACTGCATTTTTTCCCTGTATTCGACAGGAGCTGCAAGTTTTGCATTCAATACACTGCCACCGCAATCTCTTCACATTTGAGGTTAAATCGGGAGAAAATTTCAGACATGATGGATGCCCTTCAGAAGCAATAGAAAATAAATATTAGCATGACACCTTTCTACCAGCACTGACTGAGTAAACAAGCTAGGGATAATGTTTTCCATTTAGTCACACAGCAAAGTTAAATATTAACATATGAAATCATTAAAAACAATGGTAGGCCTGTGCGTCCACACCGGTTTCTCTCACTGCTACAACTTGTGTCTAAAAACAGTATGATTAAACATCTGAGCCGCTAATTACAGATAATTTGATCTTAATGAGGCAGAAACAGTAGCAGCACTCTTTCTAATGGAAGCCGATCCATGAAAGTCATGTAAAAGCGTGCCTTCTCTCTCACCCGGCTCCCTTTCATGGTTGTAAAACAGCTGTTTTACAGTGAGAGCACAATTTGTGTACACTACAAGTGGTTAATGAAAACCACCTCGACGCTATTTAGTCAAATTTGAGCTATAAAAATGTCACCTGGAGAACAATTCCTTGAGGCATTTAAAATAATTGTTCAAACATAAATGACTCCTTGGCAGAGGTAATTTTATGGGCAGTTTTCCCTGGAACAAAAGAACAGTAAGGAAAATGCCAACAATCTGTGGCGAGAGCACGGCTGATCTATGTGCTGCTGCTACTGGAGTGCTGTATACCAGGATCTGAACTGAGTGAAAAGACTTGACTGATTACAGATTCTAACGATCACTGGGGTCATTGGCCTTAAAGCGGTTACAAGTCATTTGGATTCCTCCAGTATGTCAATTTGAACATAGCTCTTCCAATAAAATCTTTAATGGAAAGACAAAAAATATGGAGCAGTGATGTTACATCCGGCTCGCAGATGCTGGGGTTGCTGCTATGTGGATTTGGTGATAACAACGTATATTGGGAACTGTGGGATGATAATCAGAAGAACTTTCTTGGACATTAATTCTGTTGAAGTTTTAATATCTGTAGTAATATCAGATAGTTTAAGGCAAACTGTCAACAATGTCATGACAGTAAACCTTTTGACAAAAGGTAAACATTTTTAATGTATTGACACAACCGGCAAAAGAAAAATCATTTCTAATCTCTCTCTGTAATTGTGAAACTGAAACAGCAAGCTTGAGTTTCAACCTTTTAGCGGCGTGGCAGCAGATTCAAATCTGGTGCGTTACTCTAAGCGTTAGCCCCTCAAAGCTGGAATCACAGTGCATATTCCCTCAATCTTGTCTAATGTGCCACCTTTCACTGCTGGACTAAATCGACTTTGCTGGACCACAACACAATATCCCAGCTCGTACCACATGACCCAATGAACGGATCACAATGAAGCGCTAGCACAAACAGCAGGTCATTTCAGGTCAACGGGTCAAACTGACATTTCCAATAAAATTTATTCAGGTTGTGTGCTAAGTATCATCTCAAAAGATGTAGTCTTCCAGCCTTACTACTGGAACGTCTTAAAAGGAAATGACACACAGTTTCAAGTTAAAATGTAATCAAGCATTTTGTGATGTTAAGATTTTCAATTGCATTTTTTTTGTAGACAAAATAGTAGACAATAACTTTAAGTAGTAATTCCATAATTAATACACTTAGCACAAAATTGTGTTATTCTCAACCTGAATTTGCTCTATGAGCAGAGACATCTTTCCCTCTTTTTTATACTAATTTTCTCTGTTGTATTTAAAGCACACTTAACCAATATCCCTGAACCAACGCAAATAAGCAACCATGACGATACATCCCAGCTCTGTTCCCAGTCTTTGCTAACAAACCAATCATTTAGTGGCTCAAACATTTAGTCTTGTTTACAGAATGCTATATCCTGTGAGAACACTAAGTCACAGAAGGGTGACTTACCACTGCTCCCACAGTCTGCACAGGACAGCAGCTCTTCTGGACGCTTGTCCCGGTTTGACTCCTTCGTTCCAAGACAGAAACTGCATATTGGGATGGGGTCGACCCGGAGCTGTGTGGGAACACAAACAAAAACAAACTATTTTATAGACTCTGTATGTGGGGCTCAACAGTCTGTTGTTTTTTTAAATGTATAAACTCCTTTTCATATTGAAAACAATGTGTGCATTTAATGCCGCCCCACCACCATCAAATAAAAAATTAGACCTGAAGCTGAGAAAATTGGGAAAAAAGCTGAGTTCTCACAGACTAGAAATGAATAATAAATGAATCCCATCCTCAGAGACATGCTGCTTTTGGGATCCACCCTCTTTATCCATTACATCTGAATATGTAAGTGATCTTGGTAATCGTAGTTTAAGGGCTTAATCCAATTCTTAAAGCTTGCACTCCGGTCTGAAAGGATTAACTAGCATGTAATCAAATTACCTCAATAATATAACATTCTCTCATTGTTACTGCCACGATCCACTGTAAATGTAGCAAGTATCCAAACAAACACTCATTTAAGGGCTTATGGTTGAGTTCAGAAGAAGTAAAATATGAGCTCAAGGTTTAAGAGGATTTCCCCATTGATCAGTGTGAATGAAAGGAGGCCAACTTCTGAGTGAGAGAAGGAAAGACTGAGCGTGATTATTTCATAAAGCAGCCAGTCAGAACATAGCAAATCTCAGGGTGACATCAAGAGCAGGCTAACTCACCAATGCAACTTTAATAGAGTTGACTTTAAATGTGAGATTAATCTAAAGAACCTCAAGAGAAGTAACAAAAAGACGGTCCTTAATGCAAAATAAAACTGTCTGGGTATGACCATAAATAACTCACTTTATCATGTGCACGCCCACTAAGGTCTTACCAGTTTATTACAGCTGTGAATGGCAGTTTGGGGATGCCCATAATTAGTTCCTGGTTTCTGTGATGTATATATTTTGCATCCTGGGCTAATCCAAATTTGCATCTGTCATATCTCCACAAGTGCTAACCTCGACCTGGCCTTCACTTGAACTATGGGATTTTTTTTCTTTTTTATTTCCCATCCCTCACAAGGTGGGAGCATCCTTTCAGTCTGTTACACCAGCCAAATGAAGCTCAAGAGGAAGTGCACCTACGATGCAGCAGCAATTTGATAATTGTTCCTCACTGTATCAAAAAGCTGTTTCCAGGAGAGGAAGTAGTTTGCATCAACGATTATTCTATTTTCCAACCAGCCAGGTCAACATTTAAAAGTTTACACTGGCATTAAAACCTACATATAAAGTCACCATTATTGAGAAATACAACTAAAATGACCCAACAAAGTCTGATGTGTGACACCTGAAGTCATAGGTAAGTGTTTAGTGTTTTTGCAGGAGATGAAAATGCCCTTTGCTCTGTTATATCAGCCTGCTTTAATAAGGTCAATTAACATTTCATTCAAGTGAAAATGTTCTACAATGAGCATGTGCCACCCTGTGCTATCACAGCTAAAAGATGTGGAAAAAATATAGGTAAAAAACATTCAATCTACAATACTTACAAATATTTTTTATTCTTTATACATTTTCCTTTCTTTTTTCACAAAAGAACTAGACACGTGGTAGACTGAAATTCAGCTTATGTAATGCTTCTGCTGAGAGAAAACAGATGATGTAGTAATATTCTTAAATAACAAGTCCTAAGAAGACCTCCTAACATATTCTCTGCTGACTAAACTCTGAAGTCTGATCCAGGAATCTGGTGATTCAAATCAATAGTAGTTTGTAATTTGCACGTGGCAAAAATGCAAAAACAGAGACAAACACAGCTGAAGAGATGCTGATGATTTACTTGGGAATTCTAAATTAAGTACATTACAGGAAATTATGCTGCTTCAAAAGAGCAGGCTGTCCTGAGTGAGGGGGTGGGGTCTTATTAGAGCACTGCTGGTACAGAGAGAGAGAGCTCAAGTGGTTGCATAACACAGCAGCAGAAAAAAAGAAAAGAAAAACTCATTCCTTGCCTTTGTTCCTGCCAGAGTCTCTTCAGAATCTAATAAACTCTAAACCACGACTTGTTTTTTTTTTAACCTCAAAGTATCTCTTATTCTCAGCACACTGGCTCTCGTTGTGCCGTAACAACTAAGCAGGCAGAGATGTCTCATCCTTTGAAGTGAATGTTAAACCTGAACCAGGGAGGTGATGTCATCAGGCCGGGAGCAATAGGTTGAAATGTTCCAAATGGAAAACAGCAGGCCTTCCTCAGCTATGAGAAGCATTGCAGGACACTGTGTCTCTAAACAGTTCTCGGTTTCACTTCTGGCCTTACCACAAACACAGTCACAGTTGTGGCTGCAGTATCAAGGTGTCGCTTCCTGATTATTTGCTGTGAAACTTGTGAGGAGCACAGTGACATCTCCATTGCCTGATGCTGCTCACCACTTCAGCTGCATAAACTTTTGCAAACGGTAGAGTGTGAGACCACACTTAATCTTGATAAGCAAGGTATGGTAACAGACTGCACGACCTAGCTAGATGACTCCACAAACAATAACTTAAGGCCACACACAATGACAAGAATTTTCCATCTGACATTTTCAGTGCACTTGATAGTACCTTAAACTTGTATTGCAATAGCAAAGCTGGTGTCCCTCATCTTCCATTTGCCTGCAGCATAGGTATTGCACCAGGCATCAGTAACACAAGCTGAATCTCTGCAAACCACCCCTGAGGTGGCACAAGCATCAGAAACAGTGCAACCTGGAAGTTTATATCTCAGGTTTTGTTTCCTCTCTGGGGCATCTTGATTTACCAAAAGGTCACAACAGCTGCATGTAGTTTGAGTATATTCTGGTTTCCTTTCTCAACACATTCCCACGCCCTTGCAAATTACCAATAAAATATTGCAATTCTGTTCGCCAATCCTTTGCAACTCACAGGACAGCCGGCCACATCCTTTAAGGTCATTAGGCTAGAGTTACATAACTTGTGGGAAGCCCACAGCAGACTGCCTACCACACACTGTCAGCATGACTTTCTGATTATCCAAGCTCTCTTATTATGGAAACTGCCAGCAAAAAAAAGACTTAAAGGGATGACCTCTAGATGGCGATGTTCTGACCTCTTTATGTTAAATTCGACAGATTAAAAGAATTCCTTTAAAATTCCTTTTGAGCAAATTCTCTTGGGGGAAGCCCAAACCTTCATCCCTCCTACTTGGTGATGATTTAATAAAAATGCTTCCTATAAAATAGATGTGAAAGTTAACCTCTAAAAAAAAACAAAAAACAAAGTTCAACTAGGAATGTAAGTTTTAACCTATGACACATTTGTAACAAAGGTGTTTTTCAAATAGTTTTGATAACTAAGCTTCTGCATAAGACATTTGAAAGGCCAGGGTGGAAAAGGAAACAGCATGAGGTGACTGAATGAAAATGCAGAAGCAAAGGTACCTGGTCTCGCTCATGGGGAAGGAGCGTCACTGATGACAGGAGCAAGGGGGATGCACTTGGACACCTGGTGCTCCGTCCCTCCACACTGCAATGGCTGAGTTTATACCTTGGGCCATTTTTAAACAACCTGCCGTTGTTAACTGACCGCTTAGCCGCCAGCCGCAATCTCTGCCGGAAAGCAGGGTTATCAACGATGCTTGAGAGGTCATCCTGATTCCTCAAATATCTCTCAATGTTTTTTAGAGAGGAGCCATGGATATCATCCAGGCCTTCGATAGCCCTGTTGAGTATTTTATTCCAATCAATATGGCGTAGATCACTTGATTTCCACGTAGATTCCTTTGATGGTACAGGGGCATTTACAGGCAAGATTGATCCAAGTCTTCCAGGATTTCCTGGGTCCTTGTAGGAGGTGCTTCCCTTATTTGTAACCTTGAGGATAGACCCATCACGAACACTTAATTCCAACTGTTCAAGGACGGTTTTCTTGTCCAGTCCATGTGATGTGGCCACTGCATGACAAATTCTTTCCTCTGATGGCCTCTGCTTTTGCCTTTTAATTTTTTGTATTGCTTCAAGAATCCACCCCGTGTAGAGAGGGTTTGCAGGTTTTACCATGGTTGAACAATGAACCTCACAAAAATGTGATCCATAAAGATTCCCCTTTTTTGCAGCTGGAAACTGGGTACATCCACATCCTGGGTATGGTCAAGAAGTTATGTTCCACAAAAGCATCCACACAGTTTTTCACAATCCTGGGGTGAGCTTGAGGAAAAGTTGGCACCAGTAAATTCCACAGAAGTTATCTGCTATTCTGGAATTGCTTAAAATCCCAAATCAGATCTGAAAAAAACACACAAAAAACAGAGGGTAAAAAGAGCATTTTAAGCAATGATTCTCATTATATGAAATTATTTCTGGTATACTGGGTTTAAAGGCATGAGAGATTTTTAAGACGTGCTAAAACATGAGAAACAGATGGATAAAAACAGATGCAGACACTGTCATGGCTGTTGAAGAAATCGGAGTGAACTTAATCCATACTCTGACGCTATAATCCACACACCAAACCAGATGTTCAATTCAAAAAGCATTACTTTCCAGACAAACAAGTTTTCACGCTATGACAGATAGCTGGAAACTTCCATTGACTCGTAGAAAAGTATGCCAGTCTCGTCGACAGGTAGATATTTTCGGTTTCACGTTTCTTTTCGAGATGGCAAATAAGTTCATATTTGTTTATACAGCCCATAATTTCCAAAATATTACCGCAATATGCACCTTTTCAAACAAACAAAAACTGAATAAAACCACTAAGCAAAGATCGTACGTAAAGTTTAACGGTGAGTTGTCCGCACGAGACTTTTGACAGCTCGAGGTCTGCAACGACAAACAGATCGGCGCGAGCTTTAATGACACACGTATAATCAATGTTCACTTCCTGACAGCTGCTCTTAGACGCTCGAGGCACCTCTGCGATCGCCACAGAGGCGTTTAGCATGGAAACTAACCGTTAATAACTACGTAACAAACCCAGAGTTGTGTTCCGCTGAGTTGAGCTGATAAATGACAGTGTTGCCAGCATTACTGATGTCACCTAAACAGTCGCCATTTTGTTACAATGTTGTAGTTTACATGAATCCGACATGACGCTGATTACAATCCAATGGAGTCTCATTAAACCTTACCTACACTAATGTGCCCTCCCTAGCAACTTCAATATTGGCTGTAAAGACAAGATCCGATTTCTGGTTTGATAAAGCACTTGTCAATCTTTATGTATGAGCTCACTCTAAGAGGCACGGCACTGGCTGTATGATCTGTCACTTCACTCAATTGACCCGCCTCTTAAGGTGCCTCTAGTGATGAATTGATATCATTCACCTCCAACACTCATAAAACCTGAACTTACGGTTCTAACCAACTTAATAGGTCATTATTACATTACAAATAAACATTAAGAAACATAAACTATCTAAGAGGTATTTATACGAGGTAAATACTTCACCTAATTTACAAAGCGTTTAACACCAGCCCACCTTTACTTAGATTCCTCCTTGAAACAGTTGGTTACACTTGAAAGTGATTTGGATCGTTTTAGACTTTAATTGGCTGTTTGTTAAATCTATCATTTGTTTGCATAAAACCAGCATAGGCTGTAACGCCGGTTTAAAGTGGAACATGTTTAATTTTTGTTATAATTCTTGGTAGCAAATTCAATACTCCTGCAGGCAAAATGTGAACAAGCAACCCCCCCCCCCTCCTCTTTTTTTAATCTTCCTTCCTTTTCATTATTTCCCCGAGAGCAGCTGTAATTCTCTTGACATTTAACGTTTCAACTATGTGACGTTAAATTTAGGGTCGATAAATATACTATCCGCTTCGCTTGAAAAAAAAGTAGGTTTTCTGCTCGGTCCACCGCTGCAAACGGAATTATTAACGTCCCGTGTTGCGCCGTGCAATGATGGCATGACCTCTTTATCACCATTAACTATCAAATATCTCCAATGAGGACAAATAGTGAGCCCTGGAGGGGGAAAAGATGTTCAGCGGGGAATACAAGTTAACACGGCAGCTGGGAGAGCAGCTCCTTCATCACTGCTTCTCAATTATGTATCGCTAGTTTTTCGGAGCTCCCATGTCTCAGCTTCAGCTCCGCTCTCATTTTCCATATCATATTAGATTTTAAACAGCCTCTTCAGACTATACATCTTTTTTTTTCGGATGTTGCACGAACGCAATCAAACCTCTCGCCGCCAGCGGAGAGAAACAACAAATTACCACCAAGTTTCATGCAAAGATGAACATACCTAACTAAATAGAAAAAGGGAGTACAGGCTACCGTAAATATTTGCTGGTAGTTTACCTCTTCAAGTTTTCCCCCCTTTGGATACTCCTCTTCATTACCACGTCGAAGGATAAATGTGAAGCGACATATCCGTGCGATTTCGTGGGATTTGATGTCTCATATCGAAGGCAGAAAAGCTTGCGCCGAGACATGGAGAGGACCTGATAACAACTAATTGAAAGGTTAATCTACATAGCAGCCTGTGACAAAGTGGTACCCTCCCCCTTCTTCTTCTTCCACTGTAGACATCCCTACTTCAGTGTAGAGGAGCGGACCGTCGCCCCTTTAGTGCGCTCATACAATGATATTGTCAATTTCACTTTTTCCCCCTCCATCAACACGTCCAATGATGAGCCAAGAGGAACATTTTCACACGTTATGTTTTCAGAGGATTAGCCTCCGCAGGCTACGTAACAATTTATTTTATGCAACACTCATATTAACATCAAACCCTCAAGGCATTTTAAACTTCCATTGATGTGAAGCACATGCTTAAATGTGATTGACGTGAACGCAGAAACCCAGACTTTTTATTTTAAAACGAGCAATTTCTTGCACTGACCAGTTTTATTAAGGGGCCATAAGGAATATTACACACCAACATCCTAATCAGTTAATTGCCTTTGCCAAGTCCAAGATAGAGCAGTAGTTAGCAGTAACGTACATCATTAAATTTTCTGATTTAACTTGGCTTCCCTCGTTTAGGCCTTTAACACCATTAGAAGTGCCAGAAAGCTCATTTTTATGCAGTAATGTATCTGTAATTAGAGAAATAATTGGTAACTTCATGTCAGATTATAAATGCTGTTGCCTACTGTACAAACACCGTTTAAAACAAGCTTCACCCTGTTGAAATTTTTGTTCTCTGATTAGCATTAATCTAAGTATTGATTTTTTTTCTTTTAATATGGCCCTTAGTGTTAATACCTACGAGTTTAGACCTGTATGTCTTTTCCAAATGTGTAATATTTGACACCCATTGCTGTTCTTTTTCCAATGTCTATTTAAGCATGTTTACTGGCTGTTGTGGTACATGTGGACTAATTAGATATTCAATTTAAGTGCCACTGAAACCAAAATATCACAACAGGTAAAAAAAATTCATAGTGTCCATGTTTGATGCTGTTATGACTGGTGTCAGGGTGGAGGCACTGACCAAAACCTGTCTGTGTCTGGCTATAATGAATGCCACCCTGGGCCCCAGCAGGTCCTCCACTGCTGCATGGGTCCAGGGATAATTTGAATTGGAGCATGTGCCATTGCAGTCTGCCCATCCCCCTCCTGTCATTCCTGCCAACTGCCACACTGGTGTTCACAAACACTGCTGCCCATCTGCGGGGCAAAGCACGGGCCAGGGCCCCAGTTACTCTTTTTCTTGATTTAACTAAAATGATGCTATCGAAAACCTACTATCATAGATAACATTTGGACAGTCTTTTCTGTTTTTCATTCAAATTTAAGATGAACAAAAGCAAGAAAACAAACTTGAAAGTGCAAAAAGTGGTAATCGATGCAAATCATCATAATTGACGATAAACATATTCAAAATGCATATGAATGACTAACACACTATTGTAAATTGTATGTGAGATAGACTTTTGAGTTTAAAAAAAAAAATCTTTTGCATTCAAAGAGTGAGGCAAAAGTTTATCTGGAAAAGTGAGAGAAGTAGTTCCCTTATTGTGGCAGGCATTCTCATTACTTAATCATGGCTCTCTCTTTTTGTGTTTGTGTTTTGCCATCTGTCATCTTGAGAAGCAAATGAACCAGCTGCCACGGGGTGTGATCTTGCCCAATCAGAAATGTGGTCCTTTTCAAAGCGCATCTGTGTGAAACCTTTTTAAAAAAAAAAAACTGAGAAGAAAAAAAGTGCCCGAAAGTTGTTAATAACATTTTGGCTGTAGAAATGTTTTCACCTAGATGGCCCTAATTAGCATAAATGCATAAACTATGCTTCATTAAAGAACGTGGAGCTCTGGTGCAGAGAGCAAAAAACACTGGACTTTCTCTTATGTGCTCGAAAGAAATGTTACACAATTAACTTTTGAAGAGGACCAAAATGTTTACTCTGAATGACCATTCTTGGTGGAAGAAGAGTGTTAAAATATTTCTAACAAAACACGAGCCACTGCCTAACACTTCTACTGGTGAGTGGGAGGGGAGGTCCCTCCCCCCCCCACTCACCCCGTCTCCAACCCCCAGCGACAGCACAGCTGGGTACGAGGGATCAGCCTAATTTTCAGGTCCCTTTAATGGACGTAGCGAAGACCAACCACTAATCCCTTAAACTGAGAAAAATGATCTCCTGCAGCCCCGCAGCCACATATAAGACACCCAATGTCCAGTCAGGACCGCAGTGAGAATGGGTAGGGGGTAGGGTGACTTCAACAGAGCGGGGACACCATGCCCATAATAGAGGGTGTTGAGCTGCCCAAAAGTGATTAGCATGAGACTAGTTTTGGCTGATTAAATTAACACTCACAAACTGTGTGGGTTTTGAATGGTCTTTTCTTAAGAAGCTATATTGCATCCATTGGTTAAATGAATCTTATAGGTCTAATAATGAAATTTTATGGATAAAGCAGTTTCATGACAAGATGAATGGAATATGTGTTTATTTGTAAAGTAATGAAAAAAATATTTGCAGTTTTGTGCCATTAACATTGAACTTTTGGAAAACCACCCGTAATAGTAGATAAATGATGCCCACCACATCATAGCTGAAAATAAAAGGAATACTAATGAACTAACAATATAATAGATTTTATATTATAGAGAATCTCTATGCTCACACCCTTCAGGCTTCGAAGATAAAAGCTTTCAGCTTGCTACACCACACTTCTACTTTACACCACTAAATATACTATTTATGTGCCACTGGCACCTCCTCAGAGCTTTGAAATTCCATTGGAAGAATAGCGATTAGCAATCTTTCAGCAAAGGAAACATTGAAAAGTATTGGGCGGTAAATCATGTAGCAGGGATGTTTTGAGATGTATACATTGATGCTTAATTTAATTCTGTGGCCATAAATCTGAAGCACAGTTAGAGCTGATTGTAAGTCTCTCATGAAGGGGCAAATAACCAACTTTTCAAACATTTCAAAGCAGCAATATTAGGTTTAAGTGTTCAAGACTTTCTGCAACATTTTGTACTTTCATTCAATTCATCAGTTCCTTCGGTATATTTCCAATCAAAGTATTGAAACATAGTGTATGAGAACTACAATCATTCAGAGCAATGAACAGTTGATGCTGCAACTCTATTCTACTGCCTTTCCCAACCGTTAGGGTAGCATATTCAGCATAATTATCCTTTACACATAATCATGCTCCCTTACTAGTAATTTGAAAAACATTGACATAACATCGACGTTGCTTATTTAAGCCTGATTAAACAGACAAGCTAATCACAATTAGTCCAAAAATGTCAGTCACAGTAAACTGAAAAATGTACATAAATTCCTGAAGTACAATGGGTATCATGAGAGAAAACCAAGTTTAGAAACATCAGTGAAAGTTCGGTTTCTCCGGGAAGGTGCATCCAACCCGTCTGATGATGACATTGGCTGCATAATGTCCGGCCCGAATGCACTCCTCCAAAGCTTGATCTTGCACCAATGCGGAAAGAAAGCCTGTATGGACAAAGCAAGAGAGGTAAACTATCTTCCTCATCCAAACCAGTATACGGTTACAAATGTGATTCAACTAGCCCATTTATTAATGATGCCTGTACAATGAGTAAGTATTGCTTTCATTTTTAAAAATGGACACAAATTATGTCTATTTCATGTGATGCTAATAAGCTCATGGAGCCTGCAGACATCATCGCATTGAACAGTTGGTTGTTATCAAAGATTAATCAGGTATTTACACAGAATTTGAGCTGTGTGGTTGACAGTGCCATACCTCCTACAAAGGCATCTCCGGCACCATTAGTATCCACAATGTCATTCTGGTCAATGTCCAAAACAGGAAACATTGTCACTTTGTCACCTGTGGTTAGGACACAAGAGGATTGTTAGCTTACCTTGAGTGTTTTTCTGGCTTTTCACATCACAAGGCTTTGTAACACATGGAAATTCTAGGTAATTTGATATTAGTTCTTTAGCATGGCAGACTAATAGAATAGAATAAGAATCACAGATTACTTTATTCATTCCCAAAGGGAAATAAATATAAAGAAAATCAATTTGTCCTTGATTGGTGGAAAAATAGAAAACAGTACATTTGCATTATGTGAAAACATTTGAAAAGGTTGAATGTAGCATGATAAGATGGGAACTTTTTTATTTCTTTGTTCAGTTCTTTTGTATTTACAAAACAAATTCCCAGATTTCTTTTAGAAAACATTAGAAAAAAAACTTGACTGTAATACGCATTCTATTTCAGGTCTGTTATGCATTTTCTCATACTCTGAGAAAAAAATAACCAGGAAGGAGACACCACAAATTTCAGCGCACGTATGGTTAATTGTTCAAGAAGTCTGGAAAATGCAAACCAACAAGTAGAATTTAATTTGAGGTATTCTTTCTGTGGATTAAGGCTTTAGAACGTATTTTTCGGATCAATTCACCAAGCGCCATGTATAGTGACAAAAGGCATTCAGTTAAGTTAAACAAATATCCAATTTTAATTTAATGTACAAAGATGTAATAGTGTGTAGTGTAACAGTGGAAGCGGTGAGTTTTATAACAACTATCCCAACTTTGGAATAAAATGTTTTCAAATGAAGGATTATGAATGAAAAATCCTTAGAAAAACAACAATTTTAGATGACTGAGACAGTAAACAATGCAAGACTAGCTGGTGTGTGTGGTTTCAGTTAAAAACGGAATACATTAAATGAGAGTCTCTTATCTGCGGTGGATTACATTGCTTCAATTATCAGTAGCATATGCACTTCAAAGAGCCTTCCAGTTTAAAGTAGAGGGGGAGAAAAGAAAAAAAAAACAGATGACAAAGTCTTGAGGTGTAGAGTGACATTAAATCAGCAACTTATGTCAGAACAATCTAAACCACACACACAATCTTCAAACAGTCCATGGGCTCTGGTGCAGACGCGAACCTTCAGAAAGGTGAAGGAGACAAAAGACTGACATGTGGATAAAAGCAACACAAGGAAGCTGACAGACCTCTTACTGAGAAAAAAGGTTGAGAGTTTAAAGAGAACACGTAGGGGAAAAAAATTGTTTAATGAGGCTCCCTGCCATCCAACATGGGCTCACAGAACATCTGAACTGCAGATAAGGCTCTACGTCTTCTTCACTGTTTGAATACATTTAAGTGATCGTACTGCTGGGCTATAGATGCAAATCTGAGCATGCGCTGAGTGAAATAGGCGAAAGTTTTATTACACACCAACAGGGAGAAACTGTGGTTAAAAAAACACATTTAAATAGTGGCTGTGTAACAGGCCATATACCTAAGGTGTATCCGATTAAAGTTTGATTGTGTTTTCACTTAAATGCTGGTTAGTTTTAAAGGAAGCAGCTGACTGATAATAAATAACAAAATACAGGAATGCTTACAGGATCAGCTAATTAGCGGCATAACGACTTTGCTTAATTAATGCCACAGATGAAGGCTGAAAGCCCTCCTCTCCCTTGAAATGATTAACCACACATAAAAAGTCAACTAATAATAAATTCCAGTTTGTCAGTTAGAAAACTGAAGTCGTTAGATGTGGTCTTGCTAATGCGACGCACTTTGCGGCTGTAAAACCGGATGCTTCAAAGGTTCAAGCTGCTGCACTTGTTCTGCACAGAGTCTGGTGTTCATTAGATACTCCAAAACCAAACAGAAGTGGGTGTAAATATGTCCACGGTAGTTAAAGCAAATGGAGAGGGCAGTACAGGGGAGCCAGTTCTTATTAAAAAAAGGAAGCCAGGTAACCTTGCATTATGAGGTGAAGTTAATCTAAATCTGGAGGTTCATAGGACCTCCACATAGGATCTAAATACATTTGCGAAATTGGAGTGTGTGGCAAACAACAGCTTTCTTTCTGAATTCTTATCAACATTTGTCATATTCAGCAGGAAGTGTTTCATGAAAATTAGTACAATTTTTTGTGCAAGGTTTTTCTAGCTTTTAACCTCGTGTTTTTATATACTCTCAAAGTATTACAGTACAAGTGTCCTCTTCGTATGCTCTTTAAAGGATGGGATCTCCACTTACATCCCTTGATTTCTTCCATTTGTAGACAGTTTATGTAAAAACTTGTAGTCTTCTCTATCCATTCTGATGTCTGTAAATCTGTTCTCACAGAGGTATGATTCACATTAACTCATATTTCTTTAGATAAATGATAGATTCATGTCTATAAGGAAAGCTTTTAATAGGTAAGCCTTCATTTCATCTACTTGTCTGAAACACCAGACTTCAAGTAGCTTTTTAAAAAGTAATTGGTGCCGAGGTTACTGTGCTTTTTTCCCCATAAAAACTGTGAATGATAAACTTTGTGCCCTGTAAAGGCATTTAAAATATAAATGTCTGTGTGACTTAATTAAGTCATAATGGGATTCTCTATAAATAGGGTTAGGATCAGACCACATTTAATAAGTCAGTAGTCAATGTGAAAATTTGGTAAATTACAGATGTGAAGGTGTGAATTTCAGTTTGAGGACCTACCAGTAATACATCTCTTTGAGATTTTGAGTGATTGGCTCAGTGGGCAGTAATGTTGCCGATGGCTTTTCCAGAACCTTCTAAAATCTATTTCCAGACACATCACGGCATATTAGCCTTACCATGTTTCTCTTTAGTCCTGACCAAGGTTTATATTGCGCTGCAAGGAGAAAGTTGACACAACCTCACTGACGCACATTATTTAGTTTGACTGACATGTTAACTAAAGTAAAGGTGCAACAATTCCCCTGCTGTCTTCAACAAAGATCTTATGGGCAAAAATCTGTCATGGACATGGAAATAAAAAACAAAAAAGCCTTCAGCCAGAATGCTCGGGTTCTATTGACACTGGCTCAGAACATGTGAAAACATCACTTTGCTGCACTCATTCAACACTTCCCTGTCATGAGAGCAGCAACATTAATTTTAATCAATAAAACTCTTCTGTACTCAGTTTTAAACACTAACATGGTCTTGTTTCTTGAATTTGGTCTGACAAAATGAGTGAAGCAGTAGAGTGGTGGCAAATATGTGGGAGTGTGGTGAGGCTGTATTTTGATAGATAGTGTGCACCAGTGAGGAGAAAAAGGAAATAAAAGAACCAGTAACAAAAAACTCATAGGAATTCAAGTAATTCCTTCCTGAAAGGTACTGTATAACAGTGTGCTTTTGTTAATTCACTCTCCATAATTCCCTCATTACAGCTCTTGAATGGTGGTGATTAAAAGAAATTCTTTCAACAGGCGTCTCTTTGATATAATAAGTATCAATTAAGTCCTTTATTATTGGCTATTCTTTTTGACAATGACAGCTCACAGCACAACAGAGGCTGAGAAAATGCTCTCTTGTAAAATAAGCGACTGTTCAAATAAGAAGACTTTGGATTTGGTGAAAAATGATTGTATGGTGCATTGTTTTCATTTGTATTATCAAAGGCAATACGGGTGGCGTTTCGCTGCTCAATCTTTGTGCTTTGACAGATATATCACATAGCTGTCAGGTCATTAAAATTAACTTTGGTCTTGTCGCTCTCTTTCATCAGCACAAGTAAAACAATTAATACCCCAGTTTAAATTCCACATTGCCAAATGACTTCTGGAGACGCATGAATATTTAGCAAGAAATTCATGAGGTGAAATGCTCAATAGAGTTGAAGTGAAACATCTTTATCTGCGAAACTTCCCAGAGAACACTTCTCCTGGAATGATTCCCAGTGCATTTCAGCCGCAAGTATGAGCCTCTAAGAAGAAAACATTGTTACCGCTTTCTTGGCAAACGTGACAGGTTCGAAGTGAGTTGACATTCAATCTGTTTCCCAATCAAAACCAGCATCTTTGCTCACAACTGAGTTATATAAAAATGGACATATGCCTATAATTACTGGAACCACAGGCAAAATATCAACGCCAAACATTTCCTTTCAGAGATTCATGAAGGAGAACACTCAAGAGTGAGGTGCCAAGGAAACAGAGGAGCTCTTTAACATACCGTAGAGCAGAGTGCTAATTGATATGATCTGTTATAAAGTATCAAACATAAATATCACACTTTTTTCCATCTACTAAAGAATCCTCAAGGTTCAGTCAAAATGACTAATCTCTGCTTGTATGAAAGGCTTTCAATCCGGTATTAACTTTTACTTCAATCTTGTGTGATTAACATGAATAAATCAGTATCAAACTTGAAATCTGCCTGCGTTGCCCCCACGAGAGCCCTAAAACTCTCAAAGGAGCCGAGTCAAGTCCTTATCAGTGATTAGAGCAGCAGCCCCTGCTGAATGATCGTTTATTAGATCTCCTCATTGCTAAGGTTCAGGGCACAGTGATCTTAATTACTGCAATAATGGGTGTATAAGCAAAGGCCCAGTGTAGTTCAGCAGTGTCAGAAGCAGCAACATAAAGGTCTATTTCTCCTGCTCCTGGCTCTTAAAAAGCACATTTGAAGCAGTGACGTGATGAAAGACTCCAAATGAAGGGCAAAAAAAAGAACAATAACAAACTGACATCTCTTTTTGGAGAATTATGCCACAGGGGAAGGCAGTCTCCCATCCTTAATCACTATAAAATGGTTTAACATGACATGTAGAGGCTGGCAAATGATCAAATCCTGACAGGAGGACAAATTGCAAACAAAATGAGAGATCAAGTTTATTAGAGTGCTGCCTTTGGGAAATGAAAATCTTTAATTCTCTTTTTACATTGACATTTATTTGGCTGGCATGAATAGTGATGTTCACACACAGATACACACGGCACTTCTACTGCACCTACTACAACAGTAACTGCTCCACTGCAATGATAGCACAGTCAATGACATTTATCATGTTTGCCTTTGTAGATGACATCTGAAACACATTGTCTTTCATCTAGCCAGCATTCATCATGTATTTTATATAAAGTTCATACCAGCGTACAGCTGTGTCTTCATGCAGGAGCAATGAGGGGAGCAGGCAGGAATTATCCATCAGCTCAAGCACAAAGAATGGATTCTTATTCTTCTCAACTGTCACTCTTGTCTTCAAAGATTTCCTTTCAAATTCTCATGAAAGGATATCCCCTTCCTGGAATCCCACTTTGATCATGAATATTCAGATTGGTTTGTTCAATTATATATGCTATGTGTTAAGAGTGAGCAATAATTCAGCATTATCAATTACTGACTTGAAGGGGAATCCAGTTCAGATATCACTGTTAATTTGTGAGTCCTTTGTTATAAAAGCCCTGAAGAGTCTTGTCTGCTATATAGGAAATTCTACAAATCACAGGTGGAACAAGTCAAGTACATGAGCAATGAGGACTAAGAAATGTGATTTGGATTTGCAGATGAATCCATAACTTATATCGCAGTTTGTACTCCTTGATTTTTGCTAGCTAGGTCAGTTTTTATTTTAAAAAGTTGAAATCTTTCACTTTTAATAGGTGTTTTATGATTTGATAGAGACAGATTCATTATTCTGTCAGTCATGCTCTGTTAGGAAATATGTTATGAGCATTCAAACTGTGACACTCCAAAAAAGCAGATTTTCATTGCTTAGTTTTAACCACTTACAAAGCGGTGACATATTTGTGACAACAAAAATAAGTCCACACTTTAAGAGAGTTGAGGAGTGCTGCTGCATGTTGACACCACTGACATTTTTTCCTTGCATTTCGCAGTTAATGTATCACGGCCACTTGTTGAACCGTATGATCTGAAGCTGAATTACACAACAGTAAACAGTGCAGCTGGATTTCCCTAAGAGGACTGAATCTGAAGCAGAAACATGCTAGTACCCTATAATTGATATGGGTTATTTCTAGTTGTGCGTCAGTACCCAAAAATCATAAAAAAGGGAATTAATTCAGACTAATGGTTATATATTTACCTAAAGCAGCGTCTAAATCCTATTTCAGACATGCACTGCTCTCCATTAATCTGAGCACAGCTGAATGTGTCATCTTCATGTTTGAATGAGAACACTGGTGCTTTCCTCTAATGATTTGGGATGGCAATGTTATGAGGTCAGACCTAGTAAGATTTACCCATCACTTTCAACACAGCATGAGCAGTCAGATTTATGGAAAGACATGCACACTGGTACTGGTCTTAATTTGGCATGTGATCAGTTTTTCTGCAATCCAGCAGACAGTTTTTATAAATGTTATTTCTCTGAAACACAAAGCCAACAGAACGATTCATTAACAAAAAAAAATCCTCTGTACAGACAGAAACAAACAAAAGTAAGCGAGCCGCAGCCATTCAAGAATTATCGACAGATTCAGTTACTGCATTAATAACAGCCCTGTCTAAGCTTTACTTCTCATTCTATTCACAGCAAGAAATCTGATGTTGCAACCAAGCAGGCTTTTTATTTTTTTTAACCTATCAATACATTTTGGCAGCATTTGAGCCAAATGAGCAAGAAATAAAAGCACAGCAGTACACTTGCAGCACATTTTTTGATGAGTTGTTGCATCCTAAAATCCACTTACACAGACAACAACACAGGCCTACCTATATCCTGGTGATAAAAAATACATGCTTTGCACAGGCATGCATTGAAGAGGTCAATCAAAATTCTCCATGTTATCAGCTTTTCAATAAACCTTAACCATCTTCAAATTTTATCATTATCTGATCATAACTAAGGGTGGTTTAGAAGAATTGTGACCCTAGAAGAAGTGTCATGCTGGTCCCCACATTTTCTGGGAGCAAATACTGGGTGGCCGTCTTCATCACTGTTGCAGATAAGACTAAATAAAGCCATAAGGAACTTTAATGTATAGCAACCAATATCAAAGTCCAGAGAATAAAAAATAAAAAAGTGTAAAGTTTTGGGAAAACTCAAAAGTAAATAGAGTAACTATTCTATGAGTTAATCTCAAGACATCAGTGTAAATTAAAAAGTTTCACTGGGGCATTATTAATTGAAAATGGTTGACTTATGAATAATGTGCTCTGTGACACACTGTACCAAGCCTTGGTGCCAGCTGTATGAAATTGAGGACATTGGACACGTGTAAAGACAATGTCCTGCAGAGCTTAAACTCATGTTTTGGTGTTGCCTCTCTGCAGTCCCCAGTGATGAGTGATGTGTTGGAGCCTTTACCTGGGGCCATCTCTCCCCACGCTCCACAAGTCTGAACTGCAAGGGCAATGAGGAGAGACACCCTGTGGCTCCCAACAAAGGAAAAGTCTCCCAGCAGTAATCGGAAACCATCATCTCTTCTCACACTGTTTAAACCTACAACCCCTGCTCAGTTATGATGACACTGCCTTTTATTGTCCAACTAACTAATCTGTCATGTATTCAAAGGAAATTGTATTGATTTAAGGGTATGTACTGTCAACTTCCCCCCCAAGGTCACTCTGCCAGTGCTTTGTGGGAAAAAAAAAGGGCAGGATGTTTGAGTTGAAGCATTAAAAAATGCTGAGGACTGGCCTGGAGCCCATCCAAGACAAAGTTAGAAGTACTTCACAAATCAATGTCTGCTCTACACATCCCCCACACATCTTTTATGCTCCGAAATGACAGAATGTAGAGCAAGCATTCTATTTTTTTTTTTCATAAAAACATCTGGTGCCAATATCGTAGCTTAACTTAAAAGAAATTACAGATAGCATTTTGCTGTCTTCAGTCAGCGATCTAGCATCTATTTGAGGCTGCGCTCTGCATTTTTGAGATATGTGTTTTAAATGAATAGTAAAGATGTAGGAAAGGGCCAAGAGCAGGGATTGCTCCGAGTGGAAAATATGTGCAGATAGACAGACAAAAAAAAAAAGAATAAGGCCTACCAACTGTTGCAACTGTGACATCCTCGCCCTGTGTAAAGACCACCTCTCTTTGCCTCTTCCTGTTCTCCTTGGGGAGGGTTTGGGTCTTCTTTGCGATCTCTGCAATGTCATCTGTCTGTGAAAACAGCACATAGCCGGGGTGAATGTGTTAAGTTGAACGAGTGAGTCACAAAGAGAGAGATTTTTGAGGAGTCAATCAGAGATCACAAGTGTCATGGACAGAGGTCAGATCTTTCCAATCCAGGCAGACAGATCAAGTGATAATGAAAACAGATGGGCTGGATTAAAAAAGGATCAATAGGAGCACTCAATGATGCTTCCATGCAGCACCGAGAGCGCTGGAAAATAGCAGAATGTCATTTTCCCAAAGTGAGATGAAAATAAGCGTGTGGAGATATGCTGCGATATGCCCAGATAAAGCCACTTCTGCCAGCTGAAGGGATAGGTGGTGCATGTACAGTATCACTCTCCTGAAACAGGCCATCTCTCCTCAGCATCTGCACAGAATGGATATTCTCGCCTGGAGACGACAGAGCTCTCTGGAGTGCTTGCCTTTGATCATGAGAGGGATAAAAAAAAATCCACACCTGTCAGTGCTACCTTATTATTAACTCATCATGATGTACTTTGAGCAGGTAGAATGTCTTCATTTCTGTCTTGCGGAGAGGTGGACTGCTTTTTTTTTGTTATACAGCATACAGAGGAGCAAGCATTAGGGATCGTGGACGCCTCTGGCATCTGTATCAAAGCTAATACTTGAGCACCTTCAGGGTGAGCAAATACTGTGATTATGGGAGTAATCAGAGAGATAGACTCTGGCCCAATACTACCAGCCACTCTGGCTCACTCAAACCAATGAGCTTTTACACCTCTAAATGCTTCCCAAACGTCCTTTAATCAGCCCTGAGAGGTCCGGGGAGACCCAGGGCTGAGAAAAAAATGGGTGTAACACTCTAAGTAAGTGCTAATGGTGAGGTTAATACTGAGGCTGTTAGCAGGCGATGGTGAAAAAAAGAGCAATTTGTCACTGTGACTGGATGTAACCACAAGCACTCCTCCAGACACTGAATGCAAAACCACACAAGGCTTCGCCACATTGTCACCCTCAGGTTTTATGTTCGCTGACATAAAAAAAGCGCTCTACTCAGGTTTTGGAGCTGAAAGGTTCTAAGGGCCAGAGATGGCAGGGTAAGCATCATGGCTGCTGGGCAGGGCACACACACACACACCTGAACACAGAACACACACGTAGACTACGTCCTGCTTCTTGGCAGTCGTAAACACTTACCTGGGGACTTCCAACAGAGCAAAATGATGCAGAAAAATAGCATACAGTGTGAGCGCAAAACAAATGGATTGACAAATGATATGGTCAATTTAGTTTACTAGTGACAAATGGCAATATTTACGATCGTGAGGCAACTGATCAGACATAAATCAACAAAGCGTGAAATATGAAAGCTTTACAAGGGTGTTAAATTGTGTTTCTGTGTTGACGCCAGCGAGAAACTGATAATCTCCACTGCAGGCAGCTTGAGAAACACTGCAAGGGAGAGATTCAATTAGAGCTGTGATGCAGAGAGTTCTTGGAGCATTTAAAGGAAACAGATTACAATCAGGCGACTGTGTTCAGATCTGCTGATTGCTGTGTTGGAGGGGACAAGCTCTTAATCTGGTATCAATACTGAAGAAGTGCTGCTGTCATTTTTGATGATCCATTATGTGATGATAGCAGTATTCTAAAATACATTACAAGTAAATAAAGCTGTCTTTTTGGGAGATAGAAATGAAAATAGCTAATCATACGGTAGTTTCCTTCAAAAGCCATGCTGGTAATTTGACCAGACTTTTACTGGGATACAATGATTTGTGAGCTAAAAAGCACTTTTGTGACATAAGTTATAACTAATCTATAAAATGTATGTATGGATAGACGAGTAGATGGATGGATGGATGGATTTTGAATTTACACCTCACATGTTAGCTTAGCATTTTTCAACAGATATCAACTGCAATAGTCTTTTTTAGTAAATGTACTTCTATTACATGTCATTATGGTCAATAGCACAGTTCCCCAACTTAGAAAACAAGGCTTTAAATAACTGGAAGCGAAAGGAAAAGGGAAAAAGCTGTTTGTTTCTAAAGGTGCAATATCATTTACATTTTATTAACCTGAGATCTACTCACTTTCTGCTTAAGCAGGGTACTAATAAATCTTTCTTTATAGGGACAAAATAGGCACAGAACTTGGTTGATTGGTTTATATTTTGTCTGTAACATAAACATAAAAAAGATTTTTACACTCATTAAAAATAGTGTAAAATGTTTTATACTGTGAATAAACATGCTCTTTTGTAAACTCTGATTTTCAGGAAAATTGATAGGGGAATTCTTTGTCAAATGAATATGTCCATATACTACTATAATTTCTATAGCATCTGCTAAATTTTAGGGATGAGAGTTGCATTAACATAAGATAATACTACTGTGTAAATAACTAGTTGGACATATCTTTGCGAGTAAAAAGTAGTGTGGGAGCTGGCTTAAGACAGAGTGGAAACATTTCACCAATAGTGAAAAGACCAAATGAAAAAAGAAAGAAACTGTGAATAAAACACCTTTGAACTGCAACAACCTAGAAATGCAGCAAGTACAGCACACACCACTGGTGTTATCTGAGAAATCACATTCATCCAATGCAATTTTGCAGAGTGTTCTGCCAAATCAAGTTGACACAGAAAATGTCAAAGAATTGTAACTACTAGCAGAGACTCCACTTTGCCCTTTGTGTGTTTTTTTTCTCCAAGTGAGGCCCCTCCATCGCCACCTGCACACCCCTCCCGCTTCTCCTGCCTTCATCCCTTCTCCTCTCTTAAACCTGTCACTGCCATCGGGAATGCATTTCTATTCCAGTCACGCTGATCACACCGTTAGTGATTCTGGATGACAATTATTCACACATAGCAGAGCCATATTCAAGGCAGCTCTTCCTCTGAAAGAGAGATGGCACTTAAAATACCTCAGCCCATTTAAGAAAAATCTAAACAAAAACACACATGCTAGCTATTTGTGTTTTTGAATTTAAATAGAGATGCAGGGAATATGCAAAATACCAGCATGAAATATACTAAGTGAATATTCATTTGACACTGAAGATGCAGCTCCACTTTAAAACATATTCTGAAGGGGTAACAAGCAATGCAATCTTCATTTCCATAATCTAAAACCACAGGTGGCTTTAATTTGCTTTTTAAAACACTACACAATGTTCCAGTGTGAAGTAATGCTATAGCAGTTTGAGGAAGACATACAGTAACATCCCTGAGTGCAATGAAGATAATGAGGAGGCTTTTTAACCAGGCAACCTGATGAGCCCTGAGCCTGCAGAGAAAGGCTTGAAACCATGCCCAACTTCTCAGCTTCCCAAGAGGCTTTTCAAAATTCAATAAATAACATCTGTAGGCGATGTTGGGTGCAGACCTAGCAGAGTGCGTCATAACAGAGAGCTGGCTGAACAAAGAAACCATGACGACTGCCAGGTTTCCATAGCAACTGCTGCAAGGCCTGGAGAGTATAATAGCACATCAATCACTGTCCAAAAAGAACTTCATTATCAGCAAAAATAAACCTTTAGGATCTTTTTACTCTGCAATTGCTGATCAACTCACCTCAAAGCCCAGCTCTTTGGCAAATGTGGCCGCCTCCTGGAAAAGACAGAACACACACACACCCACACACACACGCACACACACACGCACACAAATGAGCAATTAATTAAAGAGTTAAAAGCATAGCGTAATGTCGCACTACAGATGTGAAGTAAACACATATTTCTGCCCTCAACTCGTCATGTGTCAGTAGAGAATTAGTAGGTTGAGTTATTGTTTCTTCTTCAGCTCCTGGTTTAATAGGCAGACAACCCTTCGCTTTAAACTATTATCAGACATCATCTTATCTTACCTCAGCAGCATGAGATAACACTACATTGGCCTCCAGGCTTGAAACAACAACTGAAACCATGAAAATGTGCCGGTATGTGGGAATCCCCAAAGCTGCAGGCAATCAGTGTAGTGTCATGCAGATTGTTTTAGTTTCCTGACAGGTGCACTTTACACACCAATAAATCTGTACATCAGATAGAGCCAGTTGTATATCATCACTTATAATTGTGAAACTTCCCATAGATCAAATAAACTAAGCTGTATTGTGCCATCAGAGGGTGGTAGCAAAGACTTTGCAACATTTAGATGAAATAAACAATAAAGTGTGTTCTGGTTGCTAACAAGACACAAACTATGAAAGGACCAACAACACAAACAAACAAGCAAACATAAAAAGAACATCTTGTCTGTAAGCAAACTATGAGGCTGGATTGTTTTATTCTCTCTCTGCAACAAGTATTGGTTGTGTTTCTTAAGGCTTTCTTGTGCTTTAGATGTAAAAAATATATTCACGATTAACTTTTTCTCAAACACATGCTCAACCTGTAATAAAAGAAATCTCTGAAAACTAGTCTTCTCAGTTAATCTTATTCACAGTTTTTTTTAGTCTTGTTGTCAGCCAGTGAGAATGTGGACTGAATACCCAGACACCATCATGAACCTTGGCAGAAGCTGTGCATGCGTAAAAGGGGAAAAAGCCATTAAATCTGGTGCAGATCCAGTTTGAATTTGTTTCTTTTGTCAAACTGCATAACAAGGCACCAGGCCTTGAAAGAATGTACTTACTTTTATGTTGCAGCTAGCTGTGGACCAATAAGCCTTCTATACTGGCAGTTTTGAATGAGTATATGATGTCTGTGATGATGCCTCTTCCAAACTGATTGGATAATTTTGCAGCACATTATTCATCTAATTGTTAGAAATGTGCCTATGAAAGTGATATCCAGATGCCGTCATATTCAACAATGTGTTTTTTGCCAATTGTTTTTTTTTTTTAAAGACGATTAGAGTTTAATGAACTGGAGTAAATATTTGGGTGGCATTTAATATGAATTACATTAAACCTTTGTAATTCCATAGCAATTTTTTTTCTGATAATTTCTCTTGTGAAATGGGGCTAAGGAAATAAACTGAACTGAAATCAGCTTTTAAGTGTTTTTTTAAAGTGCCTCCATTTTCCAATTGATTTCTACAGAGGACTTTCCCAGATGGTTCTATGTAACAAACCATCTGGCAGGTCAGGTTACCTCTGGTTACCATATGGTATGATATGGCAAACTCTTGTACCCTCAGTGAGGAGACTAATCCAAATCCATGCTGTACATTTGTTGGTATTTGGGCGTACTTTCCAATTGTTGCTGGCCATCATTTGTTTCTGAAAAATCTTCATATAAAAATGACCAACATTTTATATGTAAAATATGTGTAATTATGTTAGACTGCATAATCCAGCTGTTTCCAAGCAAGATAACCAGCAGAGTCAATATACAAAATAGATTAAGAAAACATTTTCTGTGTTGAACAAATTCCAAAGTTTGGTACATGAAATAATAACATCCAGATCAAGAAATAAAGAAAACCAATTAGGAACTGAAAATACATGTAACAATCTTATAATTATACAAGTATAAATAATTTTGTATTGAATAACATCGATCATTTTAAAATGAACAAAAGAAAAAATAAACCATCTCATCATCAGTGAAGGTATACTTGACGTTAAGGTAGACTTGACATTAAGAGTTTGATTTCTACTAAATACATCCTACAATGACCCTTTAGGCGATGACAGGAGCTGTTGGCTGTCAAATCAAAGATCCTGGAAATCACGACAAAACAACCTTGTGCACTAAGTTCACTTCTGACCCCAAACGGGACTATAACTTGAAGCTGTGATTCTAAATAATCCAATTATCTGCAGAGGGGGAGTGGTGTTTGTGTGACCTTGGGGAGAGGCTTACAATCTGGTCCTCAAACAGAAGGGGAGGAGATGACATGGAACAATAAGGTTACTGGTCCCTGGGGGGAGGACTCATGACTCTCTGCCTTGGATCAACCTCACAACACCAGCAATATGTCAATTCATCACCCAACCCTGCCTGCACACATGCAAGCCAAGACAATTAGCTCTTGCAGTCAGGAAGCTGTTCTAAAATCATTAAAAGTAGAGTAGTCCTCTCCTTTCACCTCCCTTTGCCTTTTCAATCTATTGAGGGCTCAGGTCTTGCATTTGTTTTCCTTTATTTATGACCACATATTGACTTTTCGGCTCAGGAGCATTCAATCACTGACAAGCAAGAAGCATCTCACGGAGACAAGAGCACGGGAAATATCTTGTCAAAACAGCGATATTTCATCTAAAAAATACTTAAAAGAGACACATAAATGTAGGCTGGAATGAGAGGTGCTGGAATAAGAGGTGCTGTCGAGCGGCGCTTGGCTCCACCTCGCCCTCCCTCTTGTTAGCAGCCGTAATATTTGTGGGAAAAGCCTATCAAGAGAGAGGGGAGTGGGTGTATGAAGAAAAGATAATTGAAGCAATGTCTATGAGCCACATGTGCACAGTAATCCTTTTCAGGAATGTATTAATTTCCATGGCTTACTGTGAATGGTTACATTAGAAATGTAGCTTAAGCTTAGCAAAACCTCACAGATATTTGTAAGATGAATCTTGACAATAACTGAGCATTTACTGAAACAACACTTGCAACAGAAACAGAAAGGACATACAATTTCAGCTATCGGTGTGTAGTTTTCACATGTGACACGCGCCGTTTCTGTAAGTTGTGGTAGATGGGTTTTCAGATGATGTCCCATGTGCCTCTACAGCTGCTGCAACAATGACAAGTGCACTGAATGACATCTGGGCAAAATCCTCTCGGGCTCAGAACAGCATCTTGTTTGCTCTGAGATTGCTGTGATTGCATGCTCGCCTTTGATGATGTGCTGCCGAGTCAGATTCTAAAAGAGAGAGGATCGTTGCAGATTTCAAGCCCTGTGAGTTCTCCGCCTTTCTCCTCTTTGGGCAAACAAGGTAAAAGATAACAAGGCGGGTTGAGTGCATGAGCTCTCTACAGCCATAGTTAATATAAAGCTATCAGAATATGTGAGATGTTGCTGCTGTCAGAGGCTTAAACAGTCAAAAGGATATTTTTAGAGAGCTTAAGCTAATAATCCAGAGCCCAGTCAGGGGGGGGCGGGAGTCTACAATTTCTTGCCAAGAAACATTAAAGAGGAAATACGCACCTCGTGCAAAGGGCAGTTTCAAAGCTTCACATTTTTGCTTCCTTGACACTATGAATGACAGGAGGCTAGCTCTTGCCTCAAAGTGCTAAGTAAGAAATCTCACGTATCCATCAGACAACTGACAAAGTCAACTGTGAAACCCTCTATGGTAAAATTTAAGATGACACAAAGAAATTAAACTATGTGCTTCATGGTTGGAAAGATTTCTATAGCTTAGATTGATGCTTGGCACAAGGTCACTCTGCTTTTGTCCATGTTGTTTGAAGCTTAGACAATGCTCAAACATGTGTATTTATGTAAAGATACCTTCTCTCTTATTCCTAGAATGACAGAATCCTTTCATAAATGGCTTTTTAAAAAAAGAAGGTTTAGAGATTGTGCAATGGAAGGCTGGATGGGTACTATGAAAAGATGCACGTGAAACAATTGTAAACATGTCTGATCAGTGATCAGTGTTGAATGGTGGTAAATCTGGAGGTGTTTCTGTACTCCTGTGCCCCACAGTTCAGCAGCCCTCTTAGGCCTGATGAGCTCCACACCCTGCAGACTACTCTGAGGACCTTACAAACTTGCTATTGAGTGTACGTTGATGACAAGTATGGATTTCCCAGGACTGTGATTTGCTAGTCTGAACTTTAAACCATTACTTCAATGCTGTTACTCAGGTTTTCCAAAGTCAGCATTATCTTTTGACCCTCTAGGTCGAATTGACTTTTTATCAGTCACTATTTTTAAATATTATTTTAGCAGTTTTAGGAACGTTTATACCTCATAATTTCTTAGAAAAGTTGAGAAAAAGATAAACATTAGGGCTGATTGTTAAATGTTTGAGAAGAGGTGATTATTTATAAAAATTACATGATATTTTTCTTGGTGTCCCAACATAGATTCCTAGATTTCCTGGATGTGAAATTTTTTCTTTGTTATTATACAACACAGTTTTCTCATTTTCAATGCAATAAAATTACTAATAGCTAATCGCAATACTATAAATTTGTGGTCTCTTTGGGGCAGTGAACCGCCTAAAATATCCAGCTGACATAAATGTAACATTTACATTAAACTATTTCTGGGATCTAAGTATCAAGAGAATTAAAAAATAAACTCTGTGAGTACTGTTGGATATATGGCAAAGTTGCAGTTATAATATCCGGACGGATATTAGTTTTTGAGTCCACGGTAATTTCTTCTTGGCTATAACAATCAATGAAAGCTTTCTCTTAAAGAGCAATTATAGAAGAAACTACTAAAACTAAAGAAGCATGAGAAGCATTTAGGTACTTTTCCACTGTGTAACATGTTGTTCAGCATATGTCACAGCAGGAGTGAGTTTGAAAAAAATCCAATTTCAGTGTTTCCAAAAGAATCTAAATCAAAGAGCAAACCTCAGTGCTAAGGTTAATAAATGTTGATAAGCTGAAAAGCGTAACTCCCCCAGGCCATTCAGAAAATAAGCATTTGTTTGACCGTGTTAGCCCAAGCTGTGGCAGAGGCAGAAACTGAATCGTATTTGACAC